TGGCTTCAGTCTGGCCAGTCCTGGCCATTGCAGACATCTGGGGAGTGAACCAGGAATCTGTCTGTCTCTTCCCTCCCTCCACCATAACTCTTTCAGATAAATAAATTATATATATATTATAAATAATAATAATAAATTATATATATGTGTGTATACATATATGTAAATATCTCTATATATATCTATATAGATATATGTAAATATATACATATATATGTGAATATCTTTATATATATAGATATAAGTATCTATATATAGATATATATGTAAATACATACATATATGTATGTTTTTTTTTTTTGTCCATTTGGTGCATGTTTAATTCCAGTATAAGTGATTTCTTCTTGAAATTCCCCAGAAGGCCGGCGCCGCGGCTCACTGGGCTAGTCCTCTGCCTTGCGGCGCCGGCACACCAGGTTCTAGTCCCGGTCAGGGTGCCGGATTCTGTCCCGGTTGCCCCTCTTCCAGGCCAGCTCTCTGCTGTGGCCAGGGAAGTGCAGTGGAGGATGGCCCAAGTCCTTGGGCCCTGCACCCCATGGGAGACCAGGATGGGTACCTGGCTCCTGCCATCGGATCAGCGTGGTGCGCCGGCTGCAGCGCGCCGGCCGCCGCGGCCATTGGAGGGTGAACCAACGGCAAAGGAAGACCTTTCTCTCTGTCTCTCTCTCTCACTGTCCACTCTGCCTGTCAAAAAAATAAATAAATAAATCCCCAGAAGGTGTACCGCCTCTGCTTCCTGCCACTTACACGCACCGTCATCACGGGTCGTTACTAAAACCGCGGGGCGTAACAGGACATTGTAAGCCAGGAGCTTGCGCTCTGACAACCAGCAGTCGGATCAGTCACTGGTGAGGCAGCGGTGCGGGCGGGGTTTGTCCGGTCTCCAGGTTCCCCAACACCACGTGTGTTCCGGGACCGCCAGGCCTGCCCCTCAGTGTGCACAGCAGCCTGGTTAGCGGTGAGGCCTTTCACTGCAGGCCAGTGATCATAGCAGGGTTTGAAGGAACAAAGGGACTGGCACCCTCCACGAGGGAGGCTTCAGGTCAGAAGACCTGGGTGAGATGCTGCTCTCTCCGGTTCAGTGCTCTCCTTCCTCCTCGGAACAGCAGTCTGCAGGGGTGACCTGCTCCTGAAGCTGGCAAGGCAACTTAATGAAGCTGCATCCACCATATCCTGGCACGTGGCACTACACCTGCATTCAGCGAGTGTGCAAACAAGATTTGTTGTGGAGTGAGTCCATTTGGCGCCTGTGAGGCTGCTGTTTCCCCTCCCTTTATAGAGCAAGGGCTCAAGGGTGACGATGACAACAGCCAAAGTTACCATGGGCTTAGAACTAAGCTGCCAAGCTGGCATGTCTCAGCCCGTTTAATTTTCAAATAGCCTCCAAAGTAGAATTTTACTAGCCCCATTCTCTAAGTGAGCAGACTGAACTGCTGGGTGGGCAGATGACCCCAGGCCACACTCCTGGCCAAGTCAGATGGGGATCCTAGAATCCTTCCACTTCCAGCTGCTGCCTCCCTCCTCAGGAAAGGCCATGGATTCCTTCCAGCCATCTCCGTGTCCAGGCATCCTTTACTGGCACTGACAGAAGCACACAGAAGGGCGGGCTGTAGGGGCGCCAGGTTCCAGTAGCCATTCCTGACCAAGCAAACGTCTATCCACTGCACAGCATGTGTGATTTCACAGCGGGTTCAGACTTGCTGTCTCTGCCCAGCCTAGGTTGCTCATCTCCCAGGCTGGCAGAGCTGTTTCTGCAACAATGTGCATGCGCAGTACGCCCTGCTGTGTAGCACAGACTGCCCCACTGCCTGCTGCCATGGTGCCCACAAAGCTACTCTACCCTGGGAAGCTGCCAACTGAGTTCTCACTGATTCCAAATCTGGTTGAACATGACACTGTACTTCAGTAGTATCTATTTTTATTAGAGAAAACTTCATACAGAAAATTATACTGAACTCCCATGTAGCCATCACAAGCTTCAACAGTTATCAACTCACGGCCCCTCTTTTCTCATTTGTACCCTCAGTCACACTTTTCTGCAGATCATTTTAATGCAAATCACAGAAATTCCATCCATCTGTAAGTATGTCTCTCTAAAAGGTAAGCCCCCCCCCCCTTTTAAATCATTTTATTGCCGGCGCCGCGGTTTACTAGGCTAATCCTCCGCCTGCGGCACCAGCACCCCGGGTTGTAGTCCCGGTTGGGGCGCTGGATTCTGTCCCGGCTGCTCCTCTTCCAGGCCAGCTCTCTGCTGTGGCCCAGGAGGGCAGTGGAGGATGGCCCAAGTCCTTGGGCCTTGCACCCGCATGGAAGATCAGGAGGAAGCACCTGGCTCCTGGCTTCGGATCGGCGCAGCACGCCAGCAGTAATGGCCATTTTGGGGGTGAACCAATGGAAGGAAGACCTTTCTCTTTGTCTCTCTCTCTCTCACTGTCTAACTCTGCCTGTCCACACACACACAAAAAAAATCATTTTATTTATTTGAAAGGCAAAACCACAGAGAGGAGGAAGAGACAGAGAGTGTCACTCCCCAAATGGCCACAATGGCCGGGCCTGGGCCAGGCCAAAGCCAGGAGCCAGGATCTTCATCCAGGCCTCCCACGTTGGGTGCAGGGGCCCAAAAATTTGGGTCAACTTCCACTGCTATCCCAGGAGTATTAGCAGAGAGCTGGATCAGAAGTGGAGCAGCTGGGACTTGAACTGGCACCATATAGGATGCCAGCACTGCAGGTGGAGGATTCATCTTCTACACCACAGTGCTGGTCCCAGTAAGGGCCCTTTTAAAAAAAAATTAAAAATTATTTTAAAGGCAGGCACACACACATTCACACACACACATACACACACAATTTCCCATCTAATGTTTCACTTCCCAAATATCCACAACTGGAGTGCTGGACTAAGCCAGATTGAAGTTAGGAGCTAGGACCTCAATGTGGGTCTCCCACATGGGCAGCAGGGTTTCAAATATTTGAGCCACCATCTGCTGCTTCCCAGGGAGTATATTAGCAGGAAGCTGCAATCCAGAGCAGAATTAGGACTCGAATTGAGATATTCTGATTTGGGATGCAGGCATCCCAAAGGGCATCTTCTATTTCAAAACCAACCCAGATTCCTTTTTGAAAGACAACTACCGGCCAGCGCCGCGGCTCACTAGGCTAATCCTCCGCCTAGTGGCGCCGGCACACTGGGTTCTAGCCCCAGTCGGGGTGCCGGATTCTGTCCCGGTTGCCCCTCTTCCAGTACAGCTCTCTGCTGTGGCCAGGGAGTGCAGTGGAGGATGGCCCAAGTGCTTGGGCCCTGCACCCCATGGGAGACCAGGATAAGTACCTGGCTCCTGCCATCGGATCAGCGTGGTGTGCCGGCCGCAGCGTGCCAGCTTCAGCGGCCATTGGAAGGTGAACCAACGGCAAAGGAAGACCTTTCTCTCTGTCTCTCTCTCTCACTGTCCACTCTGCCTGTCCAAAAAAAAAAAAAAAAAGACAACTACCATACCATTACAATACCTCAAAATTTAAAAATGCTTTTTTTTTTAAATTTTTTGACAGGCAGAGTGGACAGTGAGAGAGAGAGAGAGAGAAAGGTCCTCCTTTTCTGTTGGTTCACCCCCCAATAGCCGCTAGACTAGAACCCGGAGTGTCGGCGCTGCAGGCGGAGGATTAGCCTAGTGAGCCGCAGCGCCGGCCTAAAAATGCTTCTTAAATATCATAGATTATCAAGTTCAAATTCCCTTGATTACCCAATTTTCACATAATTGATTTATTTAAATTATAATATATGTTAAGATTCCCTACATTATGTGTGATTGCTGTGACTTATCTCTGGGTTCCTCCCTCTTTTTTCTTCCACTCCCCAAATAGCCACAACAGTTTGACCTGGGCCAGGCCAAAGCCAGGAGCTTGAAGCTCCACCTGGGTCTCCCATGGTGGTGGCAGGGTCCAAGTACTTGAGCCCTCATCTGCTGCTTTCCCAGGCACATAGCTAGGAGTTGGATCAGAAGTGGAACAGCCAGGAGTCAAATTGGCACTCCAATTTGAGATGCCAATTTATTTATTGAAAAAATCATGTCTGTGTTAGTTTTTAATGTTTGGGAGATTGTTGACTGCATCCCATGGTGTCATTTAACATTTTCTTCTGTTCCTTATATTTCCTGTAAACTGGTAGTCAGTTTAAAACTACATATTTCTAGGGCCTCACTCCCAAAACTCAGACTGGTGTGGGTGCTGGGGATTTCTCATTCCTGAAAGCTCCAGCTGAGTCTGTCTCAGGTTTTTGAATTGCCAATCTACATGCCCCCTCCAGTAACCACAAATCTGCCTCAGTCACACCATGTAGGAGAGACAGACCGCAGCGGCTTAATTGAAATTCTCAGTAAGGATGCTCTGGGAGCCCCAGGGCCTGTGCATCCTCCTTCTAACCCAGGCTGGAGAAACTTTTGGTTTCATTTATTTGAGAGAGGGAGAAGGAGGAAGGGAGAGAGAAAGAGGAGAGTGAGAGGTCTTCCATCTGGGTTAGGCTGAAGCCAGGAATCTGGAACTCCATCCAGGACTCCCACATGGGTGGTATGGCCCAAGCATTTGCACCATCATCTGCTACCTCCCAGGATGTGTATTAGTAGGAAGCTGATGGGAAGTGGAGGTGGGACTGGATTCCAGGCTGTGCTGTGGGGATGTTGGTGTCCCCAAATACCTCCTCTCTAGGGAAACTTCTTATTCGGACCTTTCCTGGCCTTGAGGATATGTGGGTCAGGGTGGAGGGACACTCTTGCTGCTGTGGCCCTGAGGATGAAGGAACCGACTGCAGGGTCGGTAGCTTCACCTGGGGCTGAGGGCTAAGTGTTGCTGGCAGTGCCACCTTCGGTTCCGGCTGATGATGCAGGTGGCCTGGGAAACAGGCCCAAACTCTTATTTAACTGCTTTCCCCACCCCACCCCCACCCCCCAGGACCAACTGTCCCCTTAACTGCTGAGAGAGACATTCCACTGGTAACAGCTAGTGCCTCACTGCTGTGACACACAGCAGTCAGAGTGATCCTTTTAGCATCTGCATCAGATCACTTCCCCACCTTGTTCAAATTTCTCCCGTGACTTCCCGTCACGCAAGAGCCATACTCCTCACTTTGGCTGATAGGGCCCACTGTGGTCTGGTCCACGCCCACTTCTCCAACTGTTTCTTTTAGTCATCTCCATCTTTCCTTCCTGGCCACACTAGCCTTTCTGCTGGTCTTAGGTCAGTCTTGTTCCTACCACAGGGTTTTTACACTTACTAGTTCCTCCAGGAATGTTTTCTTCTTAATTTCTCACAGGACTCCCTTAAAATCTCTGCTGAAATGTCACCTCCTCAAGAAAGCCTTCTCGGACTACGCTCTGTAACACAGCACCTCTTATCACTCTATAATCTCATCCTGTTTTATTTTTCTTCCTAGAAATTCAAAGACCCTGAAATATTTTTTTTTACCTCTTTGTCCTCCTTTAGTTTGTGGGTTCCTTAGGGAAAGGGGTCTTGATCATCTCATTCACCAACATATCCCAAGCAACTAGCACAGTGGCTGGTATATAACAGGTGCTCAGTAAGTACTTGTTGAATAAATGGATAGATGGATGGGTGGATTGGATTGATAGATGGAACATTTTCTCAATCCTGCCCCTCTTCTGTGAGCATGTGCATATACGTGTGCACACGTGCGTGAATGCACACACACACACCACCATTTATCAGGTTACGCTTCTTAAACTACCTGGGTCCCTCCCCAATTACAGGATTACACTGATGGTGCACCCAGGGGTCTATTTTGAGAACAGAAGGTGCTACAAGACAAGGTCCTCCACAAAGGAATGTACTTCAGGAGCAAAGGGAGGCTAGGGGCTTGGACTTGTTGGATAAAAGGAAGCTCAAGCCAAAAACAAATTTTTATTGAGCAGCAGGAACTCCACTGGTGCTACAAAGGACTGGGGTAAGGATGCATACGAGCCTCAGGGGTCAGGGGTGTACTGCTTGACTTTATCCGTACTGTTCCTGCTCCAGGTAGACGGGCTCGCTAGGTTTCTTTATTCTGTCTCCTAACACCCCAGGCAGGAGACTCCCTGGGTAGCCACAGCTTGCTGCTTCCAGTTTCAGGAAGCCCACTCCTTCCTGTTTTGTGTGGGCAATGACTCAGGGGAGGAGTCCCTCTGGCGGACTGGGCCCATTCTGGCCACTCTGCACCCCGTCTCTGCTCCTGACTTCTCCTTGGCTGGCAGAATGCAGGCTTTTCTTTCTTCTGCCCAGGAAGAAACGCTACAGGATTGGGCAGAGGAACATCAGGCTTTCTTCCAGGCTAGCTTCAGCCCTGGGATGTTCAAAACAGCTTCTCACTTCAAACCCCAGTTCGTGGGCAGTTAGTATGGAAGAGGGGCTACTGGCAGAGTGGCCCAGCCTCTGTCTCCAGTGGTGGACAATGGAGGTCACTGCAGAAGGGGCATTAAGCATCTAAGGCAGTTAGACATTTGTCCTCCACGAAGGGCTCGGCCAACAAGCTTCTGTGGACTGATCTTATTCCCACACGCCGCAAGTGCCAAGTTTTGGGGACAGAGCAACTCAGGACTTTGTCCAACTCTGCCAGAGCTTGAGGTCTCTTGGGAGCCCAACACAGGAGTGGCTTCTCTGTTCTTGACTTTGCTAAAGAAGCATCACCATAGACCTGGAAGCCACAAACCAGGCAGTATGTCTCCCCGTCCCAGCCTACCTGCGTTTCTCTACATCCTCGGTAGAAGATATGGGAGAGGCCACAAACAGGAAGAGAAGTGGGAGGCACAACTGCTGGAAAGAAAACTAGGACTGCTCAGCCACTTCTGCTATGTACACTGTGCCGCCAGCACCTCCTCTCTTTCATGTCTTTGTTTTGGCCACAGCCCTCTTGTCTGCCAGGCATCCCAGACACATCCTTGGCCTGTCACTTCTGCAGGTTCCTTAGAGAATGGATTGTGGTCGCAGAAGCAATTCTGTGAAGCTATGGCAGCAGCAGGATACAAGGACATCTGTGCTCCACTCCCTGAGAGAACAGAACTTCAAGATAACTGCAGTCAAGACCCCCTCAGTCTCTCCCTTCCACAGCTCAGACATTTCTTAAGAACTTCACTTCTGAGGCTGTCACAGAAATAATTTTTAAGTTTTGGAAACAAGTGATATAATATAAATCACTTAAGAATCCCTCTCATCCTGGCATCTCCTCTTGGGTCCCCTCTGTGCTTCTTGTTTCAACTATGATGAACTCTTACCGTTTGCTAATACTTTCTAAAAGGCCACATACCAAGGCAAGGTGATGACCAGAAGGTTCACAGCCAAATCCTGGTAACTAAGTCTGGGCTCAAGAAAACTTCTCACATTAGCTTAACTTCCTGCGACATCTTCTGAGACCTCCAGTCTCTGGCACTTCATCTATCCTTGACTACCCACACTGTTCCTTAGAACTCAGGAGCCCAGGCTGGGATGTGGCTGAGGGGGCCCATGTGTATGTCCAACTGACAGCACAGCCAAGGTGCCTGGGTCTGACAGGGAGGTTCACCAGCAGTTCCTCCTCAAACCACTCCAACAAAAACACACTTGGTTTTTGCTAAGGGTCTAATCAAGAAAAGGCCAAAAGCATCTCATAGCCAAAAGACGAGGGCAAAATGTATAAAGAGTAGAACCTTTTTGAACACTTGCCCAGAAGTGACATCTCACTTACCCTCAGCAGTGAATGGGAACACTGGATCCCTGGGGGACCGAGGCCATTGGTCCCCTCATGGCTGGGGAGGTTCTGAGGTGTGACAGGCAAGTTCAGAAGGCACTGTGGCAGCCAGATGTGGTTGTGTACACCAGTGCCTCGGTATAGATGCCCATCCTAGGCCTACCCGCTGCACTGCCCTCCCAGGGGACACAGGACAAGTTAGGGTGAATATACAAGATCTGCTCAGACACTGTCATAGGCAACCACACAGGTTGGTATCTAGAAGAGAAATGGTAGGGAAATTTCTGCAAGGGCATCATGTTTGCGTAGATACCCTGACGTGGAAATAGAGAGCCTGTGAGGTCCTCACTACCCAGTGTGGTCACACAGGGAATACATGACCTAAAGGGCAGGCTTCAGGCCCTTGGCGTTTTGTGGAAGAGTGGGATGAACGCAGAGGGGCACCTGCCTGGGCCCTCCCCACTCACTCCTTATTCAAGTAGCCATTCCTTTTGGAACACACCTATAGGCTGGCACAGCCTCACTGACCACACGAGGGTAAGGGAAACCAAATTCTGAGATTGGCTAGAGGTGCCAGATTAACCTAAGTGGCTGCTAGGTTACACAGCCTTACCTTAAGCATTCAACAGTTGGAGAGGCAGACAACTGGAAGGACTATGGAATCAGGGAAGGCTCCTTGAAGGTGGGCTAAAGGATAGTGAGATTTGGACACACGGGGAGAAGAAAGACACTCCAGCAGAGAAGAATCAAAGCAAAGGCAGGGGATGGGGGTTTGGTGCTGTGTTTAAGCCACTGCTTGGGATACTTGCATGCCATATTGGAGTACCTAGGTTTGAGTCCCTGCTCCACTTCTGATGCAGCTTCTTGCTAATGTACTGCCTTGGAGGCAGCAGATGATGGCTCAAAGTGGTACTTGGGTACTTGTTACCATGTGGAAAGCCCAGACTGAATTCTGGTCTCTTGACTTTGGCCTGACTCAGTCCTGGCTGCTGCAGTCATTTGGAGAGTGAGCCAACGGATGGAAGACCTGTTTCTCTTGCTTCCTTTTAATAAACAAACAAAAATGTAAAAAAAATATAATAAAAGCAAAGATGGGAGCCAGTGTTGTGGCATAGCAGATAAAGCCAACACTTGCAATGCCAATATCCCACATGGGCTCCAGTTCAAGTCCTGGCAGCTCCACTTCAGATCCAGCTCCCTGCTACTGGCCTGGGAAAAGCAGTGGAAGATAGCTCAAGTACCTGGGGCCCTGCCACCCATCTTGGAGACCTGGATAAAACCCCTGACTCCTGGTCCAGCCTGGCCCAGCCCTGGCAGTTGCAGCCATCTAGGGAGTGAACCAGAGAATGGAAGATCTCTCTTTTTGTAACTTTCAAATAAATAATCTTTGAAAAAAAAAAAAATAAAAGCAAAGACATTTTCTTGACTTTGTTCTGTTCCAAATGTACATTCATAGAATATTCATGCATTTACATCTGAATACTCAAAAAAGAAAAACCAAAACCCACGATGTAAAGGGGTCTACTCAAGTGAACACAAGTAGCAGAGGTGGTGTGCTCAACAGCAGGGTTTCATGTTGTTCATGCTGGGGCTCCAGATTTTTAGCTGGCGGGAATGCAAAGACAAGCTCACCAGATTTCAAGATGATGGACAGGGGGAGGGATGTTAAGGGTGCTCCCGAGGCAAAATGAGGTTTTTGACTGATTTCACAAAGTGGGAATGATGGACCCATTTTAACCTAACATTCAAAAATTATGAGAATAACCATACAAAATGAATACCTTATCATTTCACTCCCCTCCCCTCTGAAGAGGTAACCAATAAATCCCGCCCCCTTAGAAAATATGGGCTCAGCAGCAGCAACACAGGTGAAAAGCAGGTTCCAAAAAGACGAGCAGGTCCTGCTCTGAGGAGGAAACAAGCTGCCCTTAGCCACATCAGGCCAAACTAGGAAACCATTTGAGGCAGACTTTGGTTTGATGTGGCCAAGAACTTCCTAGAAATGATAACATTTAGGAGACCTTGAAAAAACAAGCACGGGGCAGTTGTTTACCAGGGCTGTTGCAGTTGGGATGCTTTATGAGGTAGGGGCTGCCTTAGCTACTATCCTGGAGGTGGGGCGACCACAGCTGGGAATCCCAGCATCTCTTCTGGGAAGCTGCTTGAATTACTGTGGTGCATGTTATGCCACAGAGATCAGGCCTGATCAGAGCTGACAGCTGGTGGAGTGGTGAAGGGGAGGGTTCTGGGGGAGGCTCTTCCTGGCAGGAAGGTCAGCGTGAGACCAGATTCCTGAAGCACTTGTTCAGAAGCACCCCTGCTTTGTTGGGGGTACATAACTACTTCACCAGGGCGTGGCCAGGACCACGGGGAAAGGCAGCACAGGGTAGACAAATGGGAGAGTAACTTAAAGGGGCCTGAGAATCACCTTGGATGCTTAAAAAAATAGGATTCTTGGGTCAACCCACAAACAGCTTAATCCAATCTGTAATGGGAAATAGGAATTTGCACTTTTAACAAGTTTCCCAGGCAATTCTGCCACAATGATCCATAGATAGTGACCAAACTGTTTAACTGGGATGTTTTTGAGTGTCAAAATGGGCAAGCTTAGAAACTGCGAGGCAACAGCTATAAATGAGGAATACTCCAGGAAAACAGATGTAGTAATTCTGTGTATGAATCATATTTGAGAGAAGCTAGTATGGTGGTTAGGAACACAACCTCTGGGGCAGACAGACCAGATGCTGTCCTACTTATCTGTTTAATCTCGAGCACATTCTTTTATCCCTTTAAGCCTGTTTCTTTGTATGTGAAAGAGAGCTATAATTGTACACTCAGTACAATATTCTTTTGGCAAAGGTTGCTCTGGGCCCTGAATTGTTTTATGGAGTATTACATTTGACCCTCAACTACAGGCAAAACTTACACAGAGACTGGAACCCAGGAGATAAGGGATGCTAAATGCTTACTTTGCCTGTTTTGTAACACTTTCATTAATTTCCTTCTTCTGCCACACAAAAATGGGGCAGAAGGCAGCCTGGAAACGCACAAGCGATACTTCTGCAGCTGACCTTTTCCTTTTACCTTCCTTCCTGAAGGTAAAATTCCCAGAGACATTTCACTCTGAGTTTGCAATTTTGCCCAAGTATTACTGGTAAGGAAACTCTCTTTGGGTGGGTGTTTACGCAGCGGTTAAGTTGCTGTTTGCATGCCTGCACCTGATATTGGAGCCTGGTTTGAGTCCTGGCTCCTCTGCTCCTGATCCAGTTTTCTGCCGGTGCACAGCCTGGAAGACAGCAGACGATGGGTCAAGTACTTAGGTTCTTGCTACTCACTTGGTAGCCCTGGATGTAGTTTGGGGCTCCTGACTTTGGCCTTGCCCAACCCTGGCTGTTCTGAGCATTTGGGAAGTGAACCAGTAGATGGAAGACCTCTCTCTCTCTGTTGTTCATTCAAGTAAAATTAAATTTTGAATAAAATAAAAACTTAAAATATTATCAACCTAGAGAAAACCTGTCCTAGATGCGGTGGTCTTGGGTGAATCTTAAGAATCTGAACTCTGTGCCAAAGGTAATTATATAAAGGAGACCCACGAAAACATCAGTTGGAAATGATGACAGAGAGTAAAACAACCCACTTTATTTTTCGCATGACATGTGGAAACCAGAGAGCCAGTCTCAGTACTTTAACCTCCAATGCTGACTGACAGCTTCCCTTCCAAAGCTCTAGCAGGCAGAGGACAGGGCAGCCCAGAGCTTCCCACTGAGAAGTTTGTTCACTCACTGAGGGCACTGCAAAGATCCCTGTTCTGGCATCATGCGTTTTAAAAAGCTTATTTTTATTTATTTGGAAGGCAGAGTGAAAGAGACAGAGACGGGTCTTGCACCTTCTGGTTCATTCCCCAAATATCCACAATAGCCGGCGGTGGAGGGTGCCGGTCCAAAGCCAGGAGACAGGAACTCCAGACAGATCTCCCACATGGGAGTCACCTGCTGCCTCCCAGGGTGCTCATTTGCAGGAAGCTGAATTGGGAGTGGAGGTGGGACTCCATCTCCGGCATTCTGATATGCAGTGTGGGCACCCCCCGTGGCAGCTGAACCAGCTACACCACAGTGCCAACCCCTGGCATCGCATTCAAGCCAGCTAACATCAGGCTTGCAGTGGCAAAGGCTCGCCCACCGAGGATGGTAGTCCGGGAAGGCTTCTCCTTCGGCGAGCTGCCAGCTCAATCTTCTGAACCAGGTTCACATCCCAAGGATGGGTCACAAAGCTGATAACGGAGCCTGGAACCTCGCTACCTACACGACCCACCCTCCCCGCTCTGTGGATGTAATCTTGCAGGGTGAGGGGGAAATCATAGTTGACAACTAGCTCCACATGGGTGCTGTCAAGGCCCCGAGAGGCTATGTCTGTACAGAGGAGTACATCTCGGGAGCCCTTCTGGAAACACTGGAAGATACCTGCTCTCATCGAGGCTGGCATTTGCCCTTGCAGCCTTAGGTGCTGGATTTTGTGGTCATCCAGAATATATCCCAGCCAGTTCACCGTGCTGGAACTATTACAGAACACCAGGAGAGCTCCCGAGGGTCCAGTCCTATCTGTCCTGTCACGCCGTTTGAGAATCTGCAACAACTCCGTCACCTTGTCCATTCCTTTCAGTCTCATAAATGTCTGTCTGACATGAGGCATGATGCAGTGGAGCTTGGAGCTGGTGATGGTGGTGACAGAGTTTGGCCTGGTGACTTTACTCAGCAACTGGCCTACCCCTTCAGGGAACGTGGCTCCCACCAGCACTAACTGAGCTTTGGGATTGAAGGGGTCTTCTAAGTCTGCTGGGCCTTCTGCTATCTGGCTCTTCTCCAAGATGTAGTTCACCAGTTCCAGGAAGCTGTCATCCAACAGTGTGTCTGCCTCATCCAACACCATGAAGGAGAGCTCGGCCAGGCTGATGAGCTGACTTTTCAGGGCCTTCCACAAAGCCCCCGGAGTGGCCACCAGCACATCTGCTGAAGGCTGTTTGCATAGCTGCAGCTTGATTCTACGCATACCATGGCCTCCCCCTAGCTCCTGCACGTGCAGGCCTAAGGAGCTGCCCAGGGGCTGGGCCACGGCTCGCACCTGTTCGGCTAATTCTCGGGAAGGCACAAGGACGAGGCCCCTGGGAGAGGGGATACGGCGGTGGTCCAGGCTTGGCTGGCCCATAAGCCGTTGAAACAGAGGTAGTACGTAACTCAGAGTCTTGCCACTACCTGTTTCCGCGGCACAAAGGATATGGTGGCCGCGAAGCAGAGAGGGGATGGCGCTCGACTGCACGGTCGTGGGCCGGACGACTTCGGGCGCAGCCTCCCGTAGTGCTCGCAACACACGTGGCTCCAGACCCAGATCGCCGAAGCTGCTGTCCGACGAGAGGTTCCGAAGCGCTGGTGCCTGGTGTTCAGCACGTTCGATGGAGAAGTGGTCCCCATGCGCGCGCCGATGCCTCCAGCCACGCGAGGCGAGAGGCGCACATTCCCAACGGCCCAGCGTGAGGCCCGCCGGCTGGTTCAACTCTGGCCGCCGCGCGGAGACCAATAGCGGCCCTGGTCGCACCAGCACCGGCCGCGAGGAGCTCTGGTGCCTTCTCTGTCGCTGTTCCTGCCGCCGCTGTAGAGACCGTGGAATGCGCACCACCGGCAGGGGCTCGTCGGGATCGCGGACCACCAGGTCCCGTCGGATAAACAGGAACAACCTAGCCTCCAGCGACAAAAGCCGCGTGGGCCTAGCTAAGGCCATTTTCCCTTTTGACCAGGAGAGGCGCAAGCCAGTGACGTCACGGACGCGCCTCCTGTACGGTGGCTGGCATGGCTCAGTAACTCCCGTGGAGCTGGAGAACCGTGAGGAAGAAGGTAGCTGTACAGTTCAGCAAAGTCCGTAAGTCTGAACAGTGGGTGGCGATATCCAGACCTGGACCAGCTTTGGGGAAGGGCACACAGGTGGAGGCAGGACCAGGACCTGGCGGCGTGGGGTAGTGGTCTTATAGTTCAAGAGGGCGGAGGGTTTCTGGCGCTTAGGGTGCTCAGCCCTTGTGATTCTCCTTTGTCGGCCTCGTTGCCCCTGTAATAGCTTAACCCGTGCCCCGCGCCCCTTGTAACCGCTAACGGAATGGCAGTGTTTTGCAGCCGCGGTCCCCGCGCAAGGTCTGGTAGTGCATATGTGTGTGGTGTGTTGAGAGTGGGAATGAATGCACGGGAGTCATAGATCTTGGTTCTTTCCCTCCCCTCCTCCGGCTGAGAACCCAGGATGTAAGCTGGTGGCTTTGAGCTTGTTTCCTGAGAAGTGAGGTAAGGCCTTCAGGCTGTGTCAAGCAGAGTTATCTCCCCACAGCGTTTTTCTTTCTCAGCCGGGGTTCACGCCTCACTTCCTTGTCCCTCCCACCACTCTTGCAGTGAGCTCACCTCCCCTGGCTTCCCGCTCAGAGACGTCAGTTGCTTGAACCAAGTAGCAAGGAAGTCCTGTTTCTCTGTGAAGTGATCAAGTCTGTGGCTTTCCTCACTTTGCCCTGGTCAGGCAGAATGCCTTTCTTGGATTCAGATGTTCAAGTTGCAAACAAACAAACTGACAAAACCATATATAGGCCGGCGCCGCGGCTCACTAGGCTAATCCTCCGCCTTGCGGCGCCGGCACACTGGGTTCTAGTCCCGGTCGGGGCACCGGATTCTGTCCCGGTTGCCCCTCTTCCAGGCCAGCTCTCTGCTGTGGCCCGGGAGTGCAGTGGAGGATGGCCCAAGTCCTTGGGCCCTGCACCCACATGAGAGACCAGGAGAAGTACCTGGCTCCTGCCATTGGATCAGCGCGGTGCGCCGGCCGCAGCGCGCTGGCCGTGGCGGCCATTGGAGGGTGAACCAACAGCAAAGGAAGACCTTTCTCTCTCATTGTCCACTCTGCCTGTCAAAAAGCAAAACAAAACAAAAAACCTATATTATTCATCCTTCTTGAATGGATCTGAAAACAGACATTTTCTGTGGGAAATGAGGAGATGAGGTAAATGTGGATTAACAGCCTACAAGTTCTTAACATCTGGAGAAAGTGTTTTAGTTTCATCAGATATCACTGAAAGGAGAAAAACTCTTAAAAAATTTCATGTACCATTGTGATGCATAAGCAGACTTAAGATTTTTTTTTTTATTTTATTTATTTGAGAGGTAGTATTACAGACAGTGAGAGGGGGAGACAGAGAGAAAGGTCTTCCTTCCGCTGGTTTATTCCCCAAATGGCCGCAACAGCTGATTGGAAGCCAGGAGCCAGGAGCTTCAGCTGGATCTCCAACACAGGTGCAGCGGCCCAAGGACTCGGGCCATCCCCTGCTGGTCTCGCAGGTGCAATATCAGAGAGCTGGATTGGAAGTGGAGCAGCTAGGACGCTAACCAGCACTCATGGGATGCCAGCATTGTAGGCCGCAGCTTAATCTGTTACATCACAGTGCTGGCCCCTAAAGTAGTGGTTCTACAGTGAGGGTGATTTTGTCCCTGTCGCCCTCCTCCATTTGACAATGGCTGGAGAGATTTTGCCACATCTGGGCAAATACTAGGTGCTGTTGGTGACTAGAAGGTAGAGGCCAGGGATGCTGTTCAGCATCATACAATGCACAGTACAACCCCACACAAATAATTATCTGGCCCAAAATATCCACAGTGCTTTGTTGAGAAATCTGGATAGAAGGTGAGGACTGAAGAGAGGCTGAGGTTACCTCTTTGCATTGACACATTTGCCAAACTCTTGCACTGTCCTTGCCCCATCTCCAGTATCTGTAGCAAGAACACTGATGCCATTGATTATCATAGCACTGGGACTTTGAGGCCCCTGAATTTCATAAACACAGGAAAGAGTGATTTACGAGGGTGAAGCTGGAGAAGAGAGGTTTACGGAGAGCAAACAGCCCTCATGTATTTGAGGAATGTGCCAGATGAAGAAGAGACAAGATGTGGGGTTTATCATTCTAGAAGACAGAACCAGAACCCACGTGAGGCAGATTCTGAACTTGATGTAAAGAACTTCTGTAACAACTAGAAATGCTCAGATCTGTCTTGAGAGAGCTTAGTTTTCTGTTACTGGGAAGTTCTCAGGCCGAATGACCACTAGTTGGCGATATGATAGAAGGGAAGTTAATATAAAGGATACGCAAAGATTTTGTGATTCTGTGCTACTTTTGTGATTTTTTTCCTGAGAACTTGGAACTTCTTGTCCCTTCTCTAAATAGTTCCTTAAAATGACAGTCTTCATCCATTTTTATATGCCACTGTTTTTCAGATATAAAACAAAGAATTGCTTTCCATGAAGACAGAGCAGATACATTGAGGGAATTGTCACAGAAGAATATTACTTAGGTATGTGTGTGTGTGGCTATCATTCAGATATTCATGTAGCTTTCTCATGTAGCTGCTTTCTCAATATTTTATAAATTTTCAAGCTAGTCTGAGCCTGTGTCCGCCCGTTGTTCCTAATTTCTTCATTGGACACTGCCAGAAGCCTCTCTCTTTCCCTCCTTCTTGGCGCAGATGTTGAATAATCTCCAATTATTTTTTTTTTAAGATTTATTTTATTTATTTGAAAGGGTTACAGAGAGAGGTAGAGACAGAGAGAGAGAGGTCTTCCATCCGCTGATTCACTCCTCAGATGGCCACAATGGCCAGAGCTGAGCTGATCTGAAGCCAGGAACCAGGAGCTTCTTCCGGGTCTCCCACACAGGTGCAGGGGCCCAAGCACTTGGGCCATCTTCTGCTATCTCAGGCCATAGCAGAGAGCTGGATTGGAAAAGGAGCAGCCAGTACTGAAACCGGTGCCCATATGGGATGCCAGTGCTTCAGGCCAGGGCTTTAACCCGCTGCACCACAGTGCTGGCCCCTCCAATTATTTTTTTAAAGATTTATTTATTTATTTATTTGAAAGTCAAAGTTACGGAAAGAGAGGGAGAGACAGAGAGAGATGGGATGCCGGTGTTGCCTGTGGTGGTTATTTCTGCTGTGCCACAACTTTGAGCAACTTTGAGATAATTGGTCACTTGACTTAGAGACGTTTTAGTAGAGTGACAGAGGCAGAAGCAAGACTGGAGTGGACTGAGAAGTGAAAAGAGGGGCCGGTGCTGTGGCGCAGCAGGTTAACGCTCTGGCCTGAAGCGCCGGCATCCCATACGGGTGCCGGTTCGTGACCCGGCTGCTCCACTTCCGATCCAGCTCTCTGCTATGGACTGGGAAAGCAGTAGAATAAGGCCCAAGTGCTTGGGCCCCTGCACCTGTGTGGGAGACCCAGAAGAAGCTCCTGGTTCCTGGTTTCGAATCAGCACAGCTCCGACTGTTGCAGTCATCTGGGGAGTGAACCAATGGATGGAAGTCGTCTCTCTCTCTCTGCCTCTCCTCTCTCTGTGTAACTCTGACTTTCAAATAAATAAATAAATCTTTAAAAAAATAAAAAGAAGTAAAAAGAAAGTGGATGAAGCTTCCGTAACTCTGAGCACATCAGGTCTGTCTGGCTTTGTAACTTTTCAGAAGAGACCATATTTGGTTAAAATGAATAAATTAATATTAACAGTAGTTACCTTTGGGAATGGGATTTTGATTTTATTTTTATTCCTATTGACTTTAACTTCAAAGTATTTCTAAAGTGTGGCCAATTATCATCACCTACACTACCAGTTCCAGGTCTGAGCCACCATCATCTGTCATAGGTTACTGAAAGCTTCATTCCCTAAACTGCCACAATGATCAAGGCTGGACCAGGCCTAAGCTATGAGCCTGGAACTCCATCCCAGTCTCCTACGTGGGTGACAGGGCCCAAATACCATCACCACTACCTTCTGGGGTTCCAATGTTCAAGTTGCAAAAAAAAGAACTGCACTATTCATCCTTCTTGAATGGATCTGAAAGCAGGTCTTTTTTCTTCTTGTGTTAGGAGGAAGCCGGAGTGAGGCGCTGGGGCCAGGTATCAAGGTATCAAACCCAGGCACTCTGATGTGGGAAGTGGACACTTTTTTTTTTTTTTTGAGATTTATTTTATTTTTTATTTGACAGAATTACAGACAGTGAGAGAGACAGAGAGAAAGGTCTTCCTTCCTTTGGTTCACTTCCCAAATGGCTGCTGTGGCTGGCGTGCTGCGCTGATCTGAAGCCAGGAGCCAAGTGCTTCCTCTTGGTCTCCCATGTGGGGGCAGGGGCCCAAGCACTTGGGCCATCCTCCACTGCCTTCCCGGGCCACAGCAGAGAGCTGGACTGGAAGAGGAACAACCGGACTAGAACCCGGCGCCATATGGGATGCCAGCGCTGCAGGCGGAGGATTAACCAAGTGAGCCATGGTGCTGGCCTATTTTATTTTATTTATTTATTTTTTTTGCCAGGCAGAGTTAGACAGTGAGAGAGAGAGAGAGACAGAGAGAAAGGTCTTCCTTCTGTTGGTTCACTCCCCAAATGGCTGCCACGGCTGGCGTGCTGCACCAATCTGAAGCCAGGAGCCAGGTGATTCCTCTTGGTCTCCCACGTGGGTATAGGTGCCCAAGCATTTGGGCCATCCTCCACTGCCTTCCCAGGCCACAGCAGAGAGCTGGACTGGAAGAGGAGCAACCGGGACTAACCCCGCGCTCATATGAGATGCCGGCGCAGCAGGCGGAAGATTAGCCAAGTGAGCCACGGCTCCGGCCCCATTTTATTTTATTTTAAATATAGAGTCACAGAGGGAAAGAGGGAGAGTCTTCCATCTGCTGATTCACTCCCCATGTGTTTTCAGTGGCCTGTGCTGGGCTAGGCCAAAGCCAGGAGCTTCATCTGGTTTTCCCACGTGGGTGTTGAGCCCAAGAAGTTGAGTCATCCTCTGCTGGAGCATCTGGGACTCAAACCAGGACCCATGTAGGATGCTAGCTTTGCAGGCAGCAGTTTAACCCGCTGTACCACATTGCTGGCCCCAACGATGTAGACATCTTTTTTTTTTTTTAAAGATTATGGGTGTAAATTTTTTTTTTTAAAAGATTTATTTATTTGAAAGGCAGAGTTACAGAGAGGCAGAGGCAGAGAGAGAGAGAGAGAGAGGTCTTCTATCCGCTGGTTCATTCCATAACTGGCTGCAAGGGCTGGTGCTGCGCCAATCTGAATCCAGGAGCCAGGAGATTTTCCTGGGTCTCCCACATGGGTGCAGAGGCCCAAGGACTCAGGCCATCCTCCACCACTTTCCCAGGCCATAACAGGAAGCTGGATCTGAAGTAGAGCAGCTGGGACTCAAACCAGCGCCCATATGGGATGCTGGCACTGCAGGTGGCAGCTTTACCCACTACACCACAGCGCTGGCTCCCGGTGTGAGCATTTGAAGCACAAGGCTAAACACCTGCTTCATAAATATTTGTTGGATGAACAAATGTACATATATTCTTTTTATGAACAGAGAAAAGGAAAACAGATTACTGTGTGTTAGAAGGAAAGTGGAAGAGGTTTTGCCTTTTAAATTTCTGAGTGTTGTTTTCCCTTTCTCCAGACGGTAACAGAGGCGGAATGATTGGGAATAGTCTCTCTCTGTGCTATCACAACAAACTAATCTTAGCACCTATGGTTCGGGTGGGGACCCTTCCAATGAGGCTGCTGGCCCTGGATTATGGAGCAGACATCGTTTACTGTGAGGTAAGTGGCTTCTGATTTTTGGGAGGGCTTTTCCAGGAGCTCAGGCTCCCTATTAATGTGTGGGGGTGCTCAGGAGTGGAGGAGGAGGCAGAGTGGGAACTCATTTCCCAGGTGCTCACTAAAAGCAGGAGACGAACACACAGGACACTTAGGAGTTCTGTGAGCCTTGCTAAGGGCCAGGAGCCTGGGTGGAACAGAGGTGTCCTTGGATGTCCTGAGCCAGTGGATAGATGAACATCATCTGTGGTCCTGGTCCTGGCGCCTAGGGTAATGTATGTCTGTAATGTATTTACTTTAATGAGGGAACTCAGGTTGAGAAGAGAGGAAAAGGACCAGATGCAGGCAGAGGAAGCTGGCTGAGGTTGCTTCTGGTAGCTGCTGAGTTTTCTGGCATTTCTAGCTAGTGTACCAGTAGATATTCTTGCTTCTGCTTTGAAGAATATTGGGGCTTTAGACCTCGGCTCAGAAAGTATCTGCCAAGAAAAGTAGAATTTCAGGAGTAGCTGACAGTGGATAGTAAGGGAATTCGAGCAGTCCTCAATTCAGCACTGACTGGAATTGTCTGGGCAGCTTCTTCTCAATACCTGACCCTGCTGTGTTCCCCTACTGGGTATGGAAGTTTAAGAAGAAGCTTCTCAAGTGTCTCTCCATCTTTAAAAGCCCCTGGGGAGAGGGATGAGTTGGGGAGGCAACTGGCCAGAAAAGGGCAACACAGGGAATCCTTGGAGTGATGGGACTCTTAGGTCTTAGCTGTGTCAACACCAACCTGATTCTGCTATTGTGCTTAAATTTTGTGAGATGTTACCACTGGGGGAGACTGGGGAAAGGATATATAGGTTCTCTTACTGCAACTGCATATGAAGCTCTCATGGTTTTTTTTTTTTTTTTTTAAGATTTATTTTTTATTTACTTGAAAGGCAGAGTGGAAGAAAAAGGAGGAGAGAGAGAGAGACAGAGACAGAGATAGATACCTTCCACCTGCTGGTACGCTTCCCAGATGGTCTCAATGTCCGAGGCTGGGCTAGGCTAAAGCTAGTAGCCCAGAGCTTCTTCCCAGTCTTCTATGTGGGTGCAGGGGCCCAAGCACTTGGGCCATCATCTGCTGCTTTCCCAGGCCATTAGCAGGGAGCTGGATTGGAAGTAGAGCAGAAGGGACTCAAAGCGGCTCCCATTTTGGATGCCAGTGTTGTAGGCTGAGGCTTAGCCTACTACACCACAGCGCCAACCCCAGCTGCAATGATCTTAAAATAAAGTGTTTGGAAAGAAAATCACTGAGTAGAAGAAAGGGAAGCAGGAAGTTGAGGAAAATGCTGGCTGCTGGGTGTGGGTGTTGAGAGATAGGAATCCATAATAGAAGAGGTAGAAAAGTGACAGAAACAGGCAACTTAGAGTCTAGTGTCAGGAAAGGCAAAAGTCAGGTCTGTTATCTATGTCAGATGATGCAGAAATATCCATTCACAAAAAGACCAGCAAGGTGCTATGAAAAAGTTGATTGGAGGGACAGGCACTGTGGTGCAATGCTGGCATCCCATATGAGCACCAGGTTGAGTCCTGGCTGCTCCGCTTCTGGTTCAGCTCCCTGCTAATGCTCCTGGGAAGGCAGCAGAAGATGGTTCAAATACTTGGACCTCTACTACCCATGTGGGAGACCCAGATGGAGTTTCAGGCTTCTGGCTTTGGCCTTGCCCAGCCCTGACAACTGTATAGTTGGCCATTTGGGGAGTGAACCAGTAGATGGAAGATCTTTCTCTCTGTCTCACTCTTTGTCTGTCACTCTGCCTTTCAGATAAATAAAGTAAATCTTTCTTTTTTAAAAAAGATTTATTTATTTATATATTTGAGAGGTAGAGTGACAGACAGAGAGAGGGAGAGACAGAAAGGTCTTCTGTCTGCTGGTTCACTCCCCAAATGGCCACAATGGCCAGAACTGGGCCAATCTGAAGCCAGGAACCAGGAGCTTCTTCTGGGTCTCCTGTGTGGGTGTAGAGGCCCAAGCACTTGGGCCATCTTCTACTTCTTACCTAGGCCGTAGCAGAGAGCTGAATTAGAAGAAGGAACAGCTGGGACTTGAACCAGCACCCACATGGGATGCTGGCACCACAGGTGGTGGCTTTACCTGCTATACCACAGCGCCAGCCCCAGCAAAGTAAATCTTAAGAAAAAGTTGTTTGGTGGACATGAACACTTGTGGAATTAATAACTGGAGAAGTGAACAGCAAGTGGGGAAGTCGAAATAGGACTGCTGAATGCCCCTTCAGGAATTTAAGGGTCAAGGGATGTAAAGGTAGGCAGTTTGAGGTCAAGGAAGTAAGTGAAGGGAGGTGTTTTTAGACAGCTTGCATGGAGTTAGAAGTGAGGGGAAGCCTGGAGATGTGAGGGATTGGGAATGATTGGTCAGGCCAGGCTTTGGAGGGGACAGGATTCTTTTTTTTTTTTTTTTTTTTAGGTTTATTTATTTGAAAGGCAGAGCTTCAGAGGGAGAGGGAAAAGGAAAGAGAGAGAGAAAGACAGAGACAGAGAATCTTCTGCCCACTGGCTCACTCCCCAAATGGCCACAACATTTGGGTCTGGGCCAGGCTGAATCCTGGAGCCAGGAACTCCCTCGTGGTCTCCCATATAGATGACAGGGTTCCAAGTACTTGGACCATCTGCTGCTGCCTTCCCAGGTGCATTAGTAGGAAGCTGGATTGGAAATGGAACAGCCAGGACTTGAACCTGCACTTCTGTATGGGATTCTGGCATCACAGCTGTGGTTTAACCCACTGCACCACAATGCCAGCACCAGGGACAGGATTCTTGATGAAGCGAGGTGATGCGTTCCTCTGAGGTGGGCCAAGGAGGAACAGGTAGACGTGAAGAAACAGAGGTAAGCTGAGGCACAGGGAGATGTAGGGGGCTAGTGTTGTGTTGCAAATATGGGTGTGGACTTGAGGAAAGCGAAGAGGTTTTGGTCCTGTGCCCGTGGGAAGTTTGGCTGGCAGCCAGGAATGCATGTGTTGCTTGTGGGTAGTGTTAGGGAGAGCTGAGAGGGCTCCGCCCATAGCTGGGGATTGGCATGTTGGTGCCTGCTGCAGGGCAGGGGCAGGGGTGTCTAGGGTGCCATCAAGGTGAAGGGAGGGGTGAAGGGACCATGTGTTGTTGGAAGGTATAAGGTGGAAGCCAGAAATGGAGATTCCAGAGTTCAGTATCACAGAGGCTCAAGATCTGATTTCTGAGTAGCATGTCAAAGTGGAGGTGGAAATGTCAGAGGGGCTGTTGGTATACATCCACCTGTAAGCCTTCCAGGCTGCTGGAACATGCCTCGGGCAGGGAGGAACTTGTTCTCACAGAGGCCAGGCCCTGGACGCATGTGGTAGCACTCTGAACTCTTGTCTGGTGGTCAGCTGTGGGTTAGGTACAGCTTTTCCTGACCAGCACTGTCTTTGCCATCCAGAAAAGTCTCTTGGATTTGGAAAGAGAATGAGAGGAGGAATTTACAAACGTACGCTGAGGGGCTTACAAACCCGTGTCTGCTGAAGCACAGGACTACATCTGGTGCCTCAGACCTGTGGGGAGCAGTGGCAGGCAGGCAGAGTCCTGCTTTGTTTGAGTTGGTACCTGGGGACTGGGCCCTGAGTACTGGACGTGGTGCCTGGTGCCCCCTGGTGGACCCAGTGTGCTCTGCAGGCCGGTATTGGACACATGCTCATATGTTCTTACTGGTGAGTTCAGATGAGGCAGCTCATCTAGGAGATTAGAATATCAAACCATTTCACCTACCTCTTGTAGGTCCTAGGAGCATACAAGGTGTGCATGCACCTCCTCAAAAGCCCCACAAAGCCTTAACCTGGAGGGTGGCTAATCAGCAAGTCAAAAGAGCAATAGTCCTTCCCCACCAGAGTTTCTTTCTTCCTCCCTCGATTCTTCCCTCCCTCCCTCAAGATTTATTTGTTTCATTGGAAGGCAGAGCAGTGAGAGAGAGGAAGAGGGTGAGAGGGGAGTGTCTTCTGCTGGTTCAGTCCCCAAATGCCTGCAGCTTCCAGGGCTGGGTCAGGTGGAAACCAGGAGCCTGGAACTCACCTGGGTCTCCTACATGGGTTGCAGGAACTCAAGTACTCAAGCCATCACCTGCTGCCTTCCCAGGATATGTGTTAGTAGGAAGTTGGAATCAGGAGTTGGAATCAGGAGGCCAGTGCTGTGGCTAGTGGGTTAAGCCTCCGCCTGGGACGCCGAAATTTCAAATGGGTGCTGGTTCAAGTCCCAGCTGTTCTACTTTGATCCAGCTCCCTGCTGATGGCCTGGGAAAGCAGTAGAAGATGGCCCAAGTGCTTGGGCCCCTCCCTGCACCCTTGTGGGAGACCCAGAAGAAGCTCCTGGCTCCTGGCTTCGGATTGATCCAACTCCAGCCATTGCAGCCGTTTGGAAAGGAGCCAGCAGATGGAAGATGTCTCTGTTTCCCCCTCTTCTCTGTCTGTAACTCTGCCTCTCAAAATAAATAACTTAAAAAAAAAAAAAAAAGAAATACCAGGCGTCCCAACAGGGCAAGGCGTCAGGTGGCCCTCATGATGGGAAGTTGCTGCAGCCTCTTGAAAAAATAAAGAAAGAGCAGGGGCTGGTGCTGTGGTATAGCAGGTAAAGCTTCCGCCTTCGGAACCAGCATCCCATATGGGCGCTGGTTCAAGTCCTGGCTGCTCCACTTCCAACCTAGCTCTCTGCTGTGGCCTGGGAAAACAGTAGAAGGTGGCCCAATTCCTTGGGCCTCTGAACCCATGTGGGAAGACCTGGAGGAAGCTCCTGGCTCCTGGCTTTGGATTGGCGTAGCTCCAGCCATTGTGGCCAATTGGGGAGTGAGCCAGTGGATGGAACACCTCTCTCTGTCTCTTTCTTTCTGCCTCTCTGTAACTCTGCCTTTCAAATAAATAAATAAATCTTAAAAAAAAGAAAAAAAAAAAAAAAAAGGCAGACCCAGGACTCAAATCCAGGCACTCGGCTAGGAGATGCAGGTATTCAAAGTGGTGTCTTAAGTGTGAGGACAAACACCCAACTTCTTAACTTTCTTGATATTATACATAAAAATATATTGAACATAAAAATTTTAAATGTTGAGGCCGGTGCTGTGGCATAGTGGGTAAAACCACCACCTGCTGTGTCAGTATCCCATATGGGCGCCGGTTCATGTCTTGGCTGCTCTACTTCTTCTTCTTTTTTTTTTTTAAAGATTTATTTATTTTAAAGTCGGAGTTACACAGAGATAGAGAAGGAGAGGCAGAGAGAGAGGTCTTCTATCCACTGGTTTACTCCCCAATTAGTGGCAACGGGTGGAGTTGCACTGATCCGAAGCCAGGAGCCAGGAGTTTCTTCCGGGTCTCCCACGCGGTGCAGGGGCCCAACTTCTACTGCTTTCTCAGACCACAGCCAAGAGCCGGATGGGAAGTGGGGCAGCTGGGGTTACATATGGGATCCCAGCACAGCAGGCAGTGGCTTTACCCACTCTGCCACAGCGCTGGCCCCTGCTCTACTCTGATCCAGCTCTCTGGCATTGCTTGGGAAAGCAGCAGAAGATGGCTCAAGTTCTTGGGTCCCTGCACCCACAGGCGAGACCCGGAAGATGCCCCTGGCTGTGGATCGGTACAGCTTTGGCTGTTGCAGCCATCTGAGGAGTGAACCAGTGGACGGGAGATCTCTCTCTCTCTTTTTCTCTCTCTCTCTGGAACTCTTTCAAGCAAATAAATAAATTTTTATTTTTATTTATTTATTTTTTTAGCAGATAGAGTTAGACGATGAGAGAGAGAGACAGAGAGAAAGGTCTTCCTTCCGTTGATTCACTCCCCAAATGGCTGCTACGGCCAGAGCTACGCTGATCTGAAGCCAGGAGCCAAGTGCTTCCTACTGGTCTCTCATGCGGGTGCAGGGGCCCAAGCACTCGGGCCATCCTCCATTGCCTTCCCGGGCCACAGCAGAGAGCTAGACTGGAAGAGGAGCAACTGGGACTAGAACCCGACGCTCATATGGGATGCCGGCACCGCAGGTGGATCTGATTAACCAAGTGAGCCATGGCGCTGGCCCCATAAATAAATCTTTAAAAAATATATAGATTTTAATCATATCCAGTTTTTTTCTTTTGTTTGTGCTTTTGGTGTCATCTCAGAAATTTGCCTAATCTAAGATGATAAGGATTGACACATGAATTTTTTTTTTTATAAAGATTGACTTTATTTATTTGACATGTAGAGTTACAGAAGGGTAAGGCCCAGAGAGAGAGAGAGAGAGAGAGAGGTCTTCCATCCGATGGTTCACTCCCCAGTTGGCCACAATGGCCTGAGCTGCGCCAATCTGAAGCCAGGTGCCAGGAGCTTCTTCCGGGTCTCTCATGTGAGTGCAGGGGCCCAAGGACCTGGGCCATCTTCTACTGATTTTCTAGGCCACAGCAGAGAGCTGGATCGGAAGTGGAGCAGCTGTGTCTTGGACTGGCACCCGTTTGGGATGCTGGCACTGCAGGCAGCAGCTTTACCTGCTGTGGCAGCTTTACCCGCTGTGCCACAGCGCCAGCCCCCTCAGCACTGAGTTTTATAGAAATAGAAAACCAACATTGCTCACAAAATAGACCAAAAAATTTTTTTCTTTTTGTGTATTGCCTTTGTTTTGGTACCAGGGAAATATGGCCTTCCTGTGCTTCTATAACCTGATTCCCAGTGTGTCCTTGGATGTTTCCTGGGAGCCCTTCACTGCCTGCCTTCACCCAGGGCTAAGGTGTGAGGTTCTTTGAGGGTGGGCTTGAGCTCAGACCACTGTGTAAAGAAAGTGTCCGCAGTCCACATCCTGAGTGATTATCTTCCCTTTGGCTATCTGAATGGCTTGTCCTTTTTAGGACCCAAACATTTCCAAGCTTGGAATAGTTGCTGATTAAGAGTAGCTTACTCAGACACCTGCTTGCCATGCTTGGGGTAGACGGTGGCAATATGTCCCCAAAGCCATGCTTTTTTTGGTAGTAGGGTGACTGGCCAAGTGTTCCGCATCAGGTTTGTGGCTGAAGCTCCTGCTCCCGTGCCCAGGGCCTACGTGTCCAATACTGACAGGTGTCCTCTGATTCCTCTGCAGGAGCTGATTGACCTCAAGATGCTTCAGTGCAGGAGAGTTGTCAATGGTGAGTGCAGCTCTGGTCCCAAGAAGCACTACCACGACCTTCCCCAGGGTGACAGTGTCCTCTGTGGGTGCTCCCTTCACTGCTCTCAAGAGACCATGAAAAAAAAAACAGATATGATACAGATATGCCTTCTGCCCACAGGCTTGCTGGCATAGAAATCACCATGTTTCGTGGTACAGGAGGGAGCCTAGGGGCCTTGGAGTCAGGATGGCTTCAGCACTGGCCTTGGCTCTGCAAGTTACATCACTTCTCTCTACCTTAGTGGTTTTTTTTTTTTGACAGGCAGAGTGGACAGTGAGAGAGAGAGACAGAGAGAAAGGTCTTCCTTTGCCGTTGGTTCACCCTCCAATGGCCGCCGCGGCCGGCGCACCACGCTGATCCAATGGCAGGAGCCAGGTACTTATCCTGGTCTCCCATGGGGTGCAGGGCCCAAGCACTTGGGCCATCCTCCACTGCGCTCCCTGGCCACAGCAGAGAGCTGGCCTGGAAGATGGGCAACCGGGACAGAATCCGGTGCCCCGACCGGGACTAGAACCCGGTGTGCCGGCGCCGCAAGGCGGAGGATTAGCCTAGTGAGCCGCGGCGCCGGCCTTCTACCTTAGTTTCTGTCTGTAACATGGAGGTCATAATCCTTGCTTTACTTAAGTCACAGAGTTGGAGGGAGGATCCAGTAGATAAGGTGCACGTAAGCAAGTCCTTTACGCATCTTGTGCTCTATGGAAATGGAAGTGGTTGTGGTGAGTTGTGGTTTTGCTTGTGCTTTGTTCAGGAGGCTGATTCTGCTCTGGTTAGAGTTGTATTGTTGTATTCTTTCAGGTTTTTGAGATATAAGCTTGTGAAATCTTAATATAATTTCACTAGAAGTTATGACTCAGTTTTGCCCGAATATTTTAAATTTACATTTTCCTTTTTGTGTTATAAAAAATTCAACAGTGCAGTTCTGTAGAAAACCCTCCATAATCCCACAAAGACATCATCACAAAGATGAGTAATGTATATTTTTCTCCACACAGACTAATGTGTATATATAAAATTAGGACATGTTTATGTATGGCTCCTCTGTGCCACTTTTATACTAGGACGCTTTCAAATGTCAGTATCTGTAGGTAACTGTGTCAGAGTTGATTTCACCGATGTATTAATGGGGATTTCCAATACTTTGCTGATGGAAATGAAACTGTGTTATAAATTCACCAAGTTTTTGTGGGTTGTCTCTCAGATGCCTTACTGCCAGTGGTGAGAGGCCTCTGCTAGGGACAACTTTGATCACCACTCCCAACAAGCCATTGCCTCTACCCAACCCTTTTTAACCTTCTAATCTGTTCAGTGGTATAATGATAATTATAGATTCCATTTATGGAAATGCTTTATATACATTAAAGATCTCATTTATTTTTCAAATCATCTTTGAGGTAGATGTCTTCTCACAACTGCCATGTTGAATCTCTTTCATTTGGTGGTCATCTTTCTTTTTTTTTAATTTATTTAGTTTTTGAAAGGCAGAGTTATAGAGAGGAAGAGAGAAAGAGAGAGGTCTTCCATCCACTGGTTTCACCCTCCAGATGGCTGCAACAGTCGGGGCTGCACTGATCCAAAGCCAGGAACCAAGAGCTTCCTCTGGGTCTCCCAAGCAGGTACAGGGACCCAAGGACTTGGGCCATCTTCTGCATTCCCAGGCCCTAGCAGAGAGCTGGATCAGAAGTGGAGCAGCTGGGATGCCAGCACTGCAGATGGTGGCTTTACCCACTATGCCATAGTGCCAGTCCCAGTAGTCATCTTTGAAAGCTAATAATGTTGGCACTTACTGAAGAGCTTCCTTAGGAAGAAGAAATAAGACACAGCCAATTCTTATTGTTTGCAGTTGTTACACCTCATAAAGTTGCTGTGAACACTGAATTAATGAATACTGAACCATTGATCCTTGGAGAAATACAGTCATGCTCTTGGCAAGCATCCAATCATGTTTTCATTAACTAATCAATACACAACCTTATTTAAGACATACTATTTAAATTACATTGTTGATTCATTAACATTGATAGTCATTGTCACCTCAGTAATAATGAGTGTATACTGTCTTTTTTTTTTAAAGGATTTATTTATTGCTGGCGCTGCGGCTCACTAGACTAATCCTCCGCCTAGCGGCGCCGGCACACCGGGTTCTAGTCCCAGTTGGGGCGCCGGATTCTGTCCCGGTTGCCCCTCTTCCAGGCCAGCTCTCTGCTGTGGCCTGGGAGTGCAGTGGAGGATGGCCCAGGTGCTTGGGCCCTGCACCCCATGGGAGACCAGGATAAGTACCTGGCTCCTGGCTCCTGCCATCCGATCAGCGCGGTGCGCCAGCCACAGCGCGCCGGCCGCGGCGGCCATTGGAGGGTGAACCAACGGCAAAGGAAGACCTTTCTCTCTGTCTCTCTCTCTCACTGTCCACTCTGCCTGTCAAAAAAAAAAAATAATAATAATAATTAAAAAAAAGGATTTATTTATTCAAAAGGCAGAATTAGAGAGAGAGAGAGAGAGATCGATCTTCCATTTTCTGATTCACTCCCCAAATATTTGGAACAGCTAGGCCTAGGCCAGGCCAAAGCCAGGACTCAGGAACTTCATCCAGGTCTCCCACTTGGGTGGCAGGAACCCAAGTACCTGGGCTGTAGCATTCCAATATTGTATGCAGGCATCCCTAGTGACAGCTTCTGCTGCTATATCAGAATGCCCTCCGCCCCCCACTTTTTAAAGATTTATTTATTTATTTGAAAGGCCAAGTTAAAGAGAGCAGAGGCAGAGAGAGAGAGAGTTCTTCCATCCTCTGGTTCAATCCTCAGGTGGCACAATGCCTGCGCCATCTGAAGCCAGGAGCCAGGAGCTTCTTCCAGGTCTCCCTCGCCCTCTCCTTTTTAGATTGGTAAACATTGAGGATCCCTTTTTCCCCCTCAAGGTTATACTTTTCCTGTGTTTTCTTTTAGGACTTGGGCTGGGTTGAACTTGCATCTTAATTGGGTGCCCCTTGTGTTTGGGTTTTCTTGCAGAGGTGCTCAGCACAGTGGACTTTGTTGCCCCTGATGACCGAGTCGTCTTTCGCACCTGTGAAAGAGAGCAGAGCAGGGTGGTTTTCCAGATGGTAAGAGACCTCACTGTCAGGTGCCCTCCTGAGGCTCACCTTCTGCCTTGGCTTGGCCTGCATGCAGGCTGGCTTCCTGAAGACTTTGCTTTAACATTTTTCAAAGACTGGTTCATGAGTAATCGGGGATAGGTTATGGAACTCAAGCTGTCACTGTTATATGTATCCAATCTGAAGTTTAATTTACCTGATGACAGGAATTGTCTGTTAGGCATGACTTGTATTTTTTTTTTTTAGTCTCTAGCATTGATTATTCAGATCATGGTCTTTGTTTATATGTAGTCTCTATGTATTTCTTTTTATTTATTTATTTATTTAATTGAGAGGTAGAGTTTCAGACAGGAGAGGGAGAGACAGAGAGAAAGGTCTTCCTTCCGTTGGTTTACTCCCCAAATGGCCGCAATGGCCAGAGTGCGCTGATTCCAAAGCCAGGAGTTTCTTCCTGGCTTCCCATGTGGGTGCAGGGGCCCAAGCACTTGGGCCATCTTCTACTGCTTTCCTAGGTCATAGCAGAGAGCTGGACTGGAAGAAGAGCTGCCGGGACTAGAACTGGTGCCCATATGGGATGCTGGCGCCACAGGCAGAGGATTAATCTACTTATACCATGACGCCAGCCCCTGTGTATTTCACATAGGAAGAAATTAGGTTCCTCAAGAGAAGATTTATGTTAGGACTATAGTGACTGGTAGCTCTCTTCTCTCACTTTGAGCATTCTTTGGTGCTTTTAAATTTTATTTATTTTTTAAGAAGTTTATTTTATTTTCATTTTCATTTCAAAGAGAGACAAAGAGAGAGATCTTCTGTCTACTGGTTCAATCCTCAAATGCCTGCAACAGCCTGTTTGGGCCAGGCAAAAGCCAGGAGCTGGACATTCAATCTGGTTCTCTCCCTCTCTCTCTCTCTGTCTTTATTTATTTATGTGACAGATAGAGTTAGACAGTGAGAGAGAGAGAGAGAGAGACAGAGAGAAAGGTCTTTCTTCCGTTGGTTCACCCCCCAAATGGCTGCTACGGCTGGAGCTATGCCAATCTGAAGCCAAGAGCCAGGTGCTTCCTCCTGCTCTCCCATGCGGGTGCAGGGCCCTAGCACTTGGACCGTCCTCCACTGCCTTCCCGGGCCACAGCAGAGAGTTAGACAGGAAGAGGAGCAACTGGGACTAGAACCTGGCGCTCATTTGGGATGCCGGAGCCGCAGGCGGAGGATTAACTAAGTGAGCCACGGCGCCGGCCCCTGGTTCTCTTTTTATGAATGGCAGGTGTCTAAGTCTTTAACCAGAATCTGCTGTCTCCTAGGGTGCACGTTAGCAGGAACTGTGTTGGAAACAGAGGTGGGACTTGAACGCAGGCACTCTGATATGGGCTGGGATGTGGGTATCCTAAGTGACAACTTAACCTGCTGGGCCACACTGATTTTTCCACTTATTGCTTTTGTAGAAATAGCTCCTGAATGATGTTTAGGTTTTTAAAAACTGACAGTTGGTAGATGTGTGATAAAACAAATATAGCAAAATGTTAACTGTGGAATCTAAGTGGTAGGTATCTGAATGTTCGCTTTAAAGTTTTTTCAACGTTTTGGTAGGTCTGAAAGTAATCTCAGCATTAATGACATTATCCAGGCTCCAAAGTCTGCCTTTTCCTTTTTCAGTGAGCTAGTCTAGTGGGCTGGCCATTTTAGAAAAAGCCAGCCAGTGTGTGGATGTGACATGTGCATGGGCATGTTTGTGAGTGTGCGCCTGTGTTAGGACAGTGGTTGATGCAGCCTTTTTTGTGTTCCCAGGGGACTTCAGACGCAGAGCGAGCACTTGCTGTGGCCAGGCTTGTGTAAGTTCCTTCCTCCTTGGGGCTGCCTTTATCTCTCCTGTGAGTGTGAAGCCTCAGTGACACTGGTGATCTTAGAAGTCATCCATCCTTCTGCCTGCAACCCTGTCACCTCTGTTTCTGTCTGGTTTCTTCTTTTTGTGGCCTCAAAGGTCCAACCTAAAACTGAAGTGTACCCATGGTACTCTGACCCGAGTGCCTCTATATTGGGGCCTATTTTTTAGTTTTTATTCTTGAGATTGCTTTTCCAGGGCTCTCTGGATTTTGTGAGTCCTGAGGCTTGAATTTAACCAAGGCAAGAGAATACTGTGCTTAAAGAGATGGACTTTGGAGTTCAGACAGACCTGGACTGGAGTTCAGGCCTCGCTACTTAGTGACTGTGTGACCTTGCTACATACTGAGTTCCTTCATCTATCAACGGGGACCAATAGTATCACTGACTTCTGGTATTATAGGGAAGGGTGAATGATGCGATGCATGTGAATGTCTGCAGTGTGGCACGTAGTGCGTGGTTGGTAAGGGTTAGCTATTGTTATTAATGAGAACGAGAGTGAGAGGGAACTCAGGCAATAATTGCTGCTGCTGATAGACTGTGGACTACAGAACCACCAGAGGATGAGGCGAGGGTCCTTTTTACATCCGAGAATTGTTTGCAATAAGCCAACCGTGCGTCCATCAAACAAAGGCAGTCATGGTTTCTGCCAGAAGTGCTGCTCTGGGGAACGGCTCTTGTGCTCTTATCTCTCTTTCTACTTTGACAAACGGCTTTCACAGCTCCAGTCAGAACTGCAGCTCTGCGATGGATTTCATTGTACACTTCATTCCCTATTTTTTTTTAAAGATTTATTTATTTATTTGAAAGTCAGAATTACACAGAGAGGAGAGGCAGAGAGAGAGAGAGAGAGAGAGGTCCTCCACCTGATGGTTTACTCATCACTCCCTTTTGAGTTATCTGATACAACTCCAAAGTAGCAGAGTCCCTGTATGTAGCTGTTTATACATTTGTGTGCATGTTATTTCTGTCCTCGGGAGCTCTGCTCAGAGGAAACAGTTAAGGATTTTAGAGACAGGGTACTTTTCCATTTTTTAGCTTCTGTCACTGAGGCTTCATGTGTTTCATAGGGTCAGGGACGTGGTAAGAGATTCATGAGCACAAACCCATCCATGCCTTTGAACCTACCTTCTCTTCCAACTGAATATTTATTGCATCTTAAAATATTTTTTTCCAGAGAAAATGATGTAGCTGGTATTGATGTCAACATGGGCTGTCCAAAAGAATATTCTACCAAGGTAAACTGATTTCCTTTTACAAACAAACAAACAAAATTGAAAGGCACACACACACACACACACACTCCCATACACAGAGATAAATAGATAGACAAAGATCTTTTGATGTTGGTTCAGTCCCCAAATGCCTGTAACAGCTGGGGCTGGGCCAGACCAAACCCAGGAGCTGGGAACTCAGCCTGGGTCTTCCACATGACTGGCAGGGACTGAAGTACTTGAACCATCACCTACTACCTCTGAGGGTAGGTATTAGCAAGAAGGTGGAATTGGAAGTGAAGCTGGGACTTGAACCCAGGCACTCCAGTATCGGATGCAGGCATTCAAATCAGTATCTTAATTACTGCTCCAAAAGGCCATTCCACCTGATTTTCTTGTCCTCTTCACAAATAAAATATGCAGATTAAAGGAAGCTAAAAAAACATGGCAATGAAGTATGTTACCCAACCATGAGGAAAATGCTCAAAAGGTTATTATTAGATCAGTGGGCAAAATTAGAAGTGATCATGGTAGATTAGCTAAAAATATTCTGTCAGTGTAAATTTATGAGGTTGATAATTCTTCTATAGTTATATAAGAGAATATTTTTATTTTTAGAAAATACATACTAAAGATTTAAGGATAAAAGGCTATAATATTTGAGTGTTTTTATTTTGTTTTATTTTTTTAAAGATTTATTTATTTATTTGAAAGTCAGAGTTACACAGAGAGAGGAGAGGCAGAGGGAGAGGGAGAGAGAGAGAGAGGTCTTCCCTCCGCTGGTTCACTCCCCAGATGGCTGCAATGGCCGGAACTGCGCTGATCCGAAGCCAGGAGCCAGGAGATTCTTTCGGGTCTCCCACGTGGGTGCAGGGCCCAAGGACTTGGGCCATCTTCTGCTGCTTTCCCAGGCCACAGCAGAGAGCTGAATCAGAAGTGGAGCAGCCGGGACTAGAACCGGTGCCCATATGGGATGCCAGCACTACAGGCCAGGGTGTTAACCCGCTGTGCCACAACGCCGGTCCCCTATTTTATTTTATTTTTTAAGATTTACTTGTTTGAAAGGCAGAGTTACAGAGAGGCAGAGGCAGAGAGAGAGAGAGGTCTTTTGTCCGCTAGTTCACTCCCCAAATGGCCATAGCAGCCGGAGCTGCACTGATCTGAAGCCAGGAGCCAGGAGCTTGTTCCGCTTCTTCCAGGTCTCCCACATGGGTACAGGTGCCCAAGGACTTGGGCCATCTTCCACTGCTTTCTCAGGCCACAGCAGAGAGCTAGATTAGAAGTGGAATAGCCAGGATTAGAATGGGTGCTCATATAGGATGCTGGCACTGTAGGCAGCGGAAATACCCGCTACGTCACAGCGCTGGCCCCTAATATATGGTTTAATCCTCAAAAGGTTTTGGAAAATTTTATACACGTACATACCACACAATGCACACATGCATATACATGTATATGAATAAGTTTTTAAAAATATATACAGGGCCAGCACCGCGTTCACTAGGCTAATCTTCCGCCTTGTGGCGCCGGCACACCGGGTTCTAGTGGGGAAAGTGGCAGGGGGAACCGCCCTTCCATGGAGGTGGAAGGGACGGTAGCCAACCCGGGAAGAACCAGCAGCAAACCCGGGGAGGGCCGAGCAGACAAAAGAACAGCGCAGGGTCCTGTGTCGTTCCTCCACGAAGAGGGGGAGCGACACGCCGGCTGCAGCGCGCCGGCCACAGCGGCCATTGGAGGGTGAACCAATGGCAAAGGAAGACCTTTCTCTCTGTCTCTCTCTCTCACTGTCCACTCTGCCTGTCAAAAAAAAAAAAAATATATATATATATATATATATACACACACACACACAGATAGGGCCCAGCACTGTGGCACAATGGGTGAACGCCCTGGCCTGAAGCGCCAGCATCCCATATGGGTGCCGGTTTGAGACCTGGCTGCTCCATTTCCAATCTAGCTCTCTGCTATGGCCTGGGAGAGCAGTGGAAGATGGCCCAAGCCCTTGGGCCCCTGCACCCACATGGGAGACCCGGAAGAAGCTCCTGGCTCCTGGCTTCGGATTGGCGCAGCTCTGGCCGTTGCAGCCAGTTGGGGAATGAACCAGCGGATGGAAGACCTCTGTCTCTCTGCCTCTCCTCTCTCTGTGTAACTGACTTTCAAATAAATAAATAAATCTTTAAAAAAAAAAAAAAAATTTTTGTATATTGGTGTTTTTGCCAGGCCGGCCTTTCCCTTGTAAATTAAGCCCCTGGGTAAGATACCCTTTTCCCCTTGGGGGGCCAAATTCCTTTTCTTTCTTTTTTTTTTTTTTTGACCAGGGTAGAGGGGGCCAGGGGGGGAGGGGGGCAGGGAGAAGGTTTTTCCTTTTGCGTTTGGTTCCCCCCTCCCAAGGGCCCCCCCGCTGCGGCCGGCGCACCGCGCTGATCCGATGGCAGGAGCCAGAAGCCAGGTGCTTTTTCCTGGTCTCCCATGGGGTGCAGGGCCCAAGGACTTGGGCCATCCTCCACTGCACTCCCTGGCCACAGCAGAGAGCTGGCCTGGAAGACGGGCAACCGGGACAGAATCCGGCGCCCCAACCGGGACTAGAACCCGGTGTGCCGGCGCTGCAAGGCAGAGGATTAGCCTAGTGAGCCGCGGCGCCGGCCCTCAACTAATAGAATTCTGTCACCTGTGTGGGAGACCTGGATTGAGTTTCTGGTTCCCAGGTTTGACCCAGCCCCAGCCATTGCAGGCATCTGGGGAGTAAGCCAGAGGATGGAAGGTTTGTTTGTCTGTCTCTCTGCCTTTCTCTCTCTCTCTCTCTGCCTAAGTAATAAAGTATGCAAATGTTCAAAGAAAAATAGTGTATACAGGGCTGTGTCTTTTTTTTTTTTTTTTTAAGATTTATTTATTTGAAAGCTAGAGTTACAGAGAGGCAGAGGCAGAGAAAGAGAGGTCTTCCATTCACTGATTCACTCCCTGAATGGTTGCTGAATGCCTGGAGTTAGGCAGATCTGAAGGCAGGAGCCAGGAGCCAGTAGCCAGGAGTTTCTTCTGGTCCTCCCATGTGTGTTCAGGGGCCCAAGCACTTGGGCCATCTTTTACTGCTTTCCAGGGCCATAGCAGAGAGCTGGCTCAGAAGTGGATCATCTGGATCTCGAACTGGGACCCATATGGGATGGGATGCCGACACTGTGGGCGGTGGCTTTACTCACTACCGCACAGTGCTGACCCCGGGCTTTGTCTTTTCAAGAATAAAATTAAGATATACATTAAAAAAATAGAGGATTCAATGCATGTTCCCACTGTCACATCAGCAGGTGATGGCTCAAGTAGTTAGATTCCTGGCCGGCGCCGCGGCTCACTAGGCTAATCCTCCGCCTTGCGGCGATGGCACACCAGGTTCTAGTCCCAGTTGGGGCGCCGGATTCTGTCCCGGTGCCCCTCTTCCAGGCCAGCTCTCTGCTGTGGCCCGGGAGTGCAGTGGAGGATGGCCCAAGTACTTGGGCCCTGCACCCCATGGGAGACCAGGATAAGCACCTGGCTCCTGCCTTCGGATCAGCGCAGTGCACCGGCCGCAGCGCACTGGCCGCGGCAGCCATTGGAGGGTGAACCAACGGCAAAAGGAAGACCTTTCTCTCTGTCTCTCTCTCTCTCACTGTCCACTCTGCCTGTCCAAAAAAAAAAAAAAAAAAAAAAAAAGATCAAGTAGTTAGATTCCTGCTACCATGGAGGAGACTTGGACTCCGTTCCCAGCTTAGCTCCTCTATGGCTTGGCCCAGTCCCAGCTGTTGTGGGTATTTATGGAGTGAATCAGCAGATGGGAGTTGTCCATCTAAATGTCACTTTGACTCTCAAACAAAAACAAAAGCAAGAACTTTATTTAAGAAAGAGCTACTAATCTGGAAGCGATGAGTCTGATGGATTAGAATGGGAAGAGGCTAATAGTAGAGAACAGATTAGGGGATGAGTCCTGGGTCCACAGTGAGGCCAGGGATGGAGAGAGGAGAAGCCGAACTGGGGCTGAATTTCTCAGGACTTGGTTGATAAATGGCTGGATTGGGTGTTGGGTAGTGTGGTATATGGTGTGGCTAGAGGGTGGAGAGACTGGTAGCCAGGAGGAAGCTGGTCTTGGGTTGTGATTGGGACTGCCGGAGGTAAAGGCTATTTGAAGCAGGCAAGGACAACTTGGGGGGTGGCTAAGTGTGAGGTACCATAGTGACTCCTGGCTTGCATGACTGTCCCTTGGGACTCTTGTTGCAGGGGGAGTGGTCAGGGCCTGCAGTGCACCCCGGGCCCACTATTCAGAGTCAGCCACTCTGTTCCCAGGAGTTACCTAATGGTGGCGTTTGTTTCAGGCCAGGAGGCTGCAGATTACCTTCCTGCCCGAGGGAATGGCCCTTTGGATGCTTGCAAACCAAAAAGGACTTGTAGACAGCTGCTTCTAGGAATTATGAAGGCCTGAAATTGCCTATGAGGTGTTGCAAGCTTTGAGCTGTTTTACTCTCTTTTGATACTTCTGTGTGTTCTTGAGTTTGTGAGAATGGAGTTAAAATGATCTGGAATGATATTCCTGAAACACTGGAGTGAAAAAAGCAAGACACAGGGTTGTATATGGTATGCTACTGTTTATTTAAGAAGGGGGCTTTGAAATGAGTATCTACATATATTTACTTTTTTATTTATATGATACATTTGGAAAGTCAGGCTAGACTTACTAGTAACATTGCTTTCTGAGTATTAAGTTCCCCTTGCAGGGGTGCTACTCAAAATAATTAATACCTGATAAGCACCGGTACCGGCAGTTGGGACAGATGCCAGTCTGCATGCCATGCTGGTACATACTAGAAAATATCTTCTGTGTCCTCATGGTTCAGAATTCAAAGTCAGATAAAAAGTGTAGACTGAAAAGTCTCCCCTTCCTCAGGGAGCTGAATGATTTACTCTTAACTCCACCCCCTACCCTTTCTTTTTAAAGGCTAAGATATCCCCAGTGGTGGGCCAGGAAGCTGCACCTTCTTTTTCTTTTTTTCTTTTTTTTTTTTTTTTTAATATTTATTTATTTTATTTGAAAGGCGGAGTTCCAGAGAGGCAGAGGCAGAGAGAGTGAGAGCGAGAGCGAGAGCGAGAGAGAGAGAGAGAGAGAGGTCTTCTGTCTGCTGGACCACTCTCCAGATGGCCACAGCCAGAGCTGTGCTGATCCAAAACCAGGAGGCAGGAGCTTCTTCCGGTTTTCCCATGCAGATGCAGGGGACCAAGGACTTGGACCATCTTCCACTGTTTTCCGAGGCCATAGCAGAGAGCTGGATTGGAAGTAGAGTAGCTGGGACTCAAACTGGCACCTATATGGGATGCTGGCTCTGCAGGCAGTGGCTTTACCCACTATGCCACAGCGCTGGCCCCCTCTTAACCCCTTTGAATCTCTTAAATTTTGAATGTGTTACTTAAGCAAGCAAGTAAGTTAAGTAGAAGGGAAGGAAGGAAATGCCATTGTTGAGAAGACCATTGTTGTGAAAGGGGCAGTGAGACTGAATTTTATGTGCTGTGGTTCCGCAAGGAAGGGATGCATTGTGTGTGAGGTGCAGGACGTAAGGAGCTGGGGAGTTCTAGACTTGTTTACAGCTGCCACAGTTTATGTCTGTGGCACAGATAGCCTGGGGCTAGTGGTTCCTCCAGCCTGTGTGATTCACACAGCCTAGCCAAGTCTGTGGTGGTTTGATGTTCTCTTTGATTCTAATCTGTCATGTTTCAGTGTGAAATTAAACCTTAAGCCTTGAACAGATTAAGCTATAAAACTGAATTTAAACATATGAACATGTCCTGTGAGTATTCCTTAGTAGCAAGTCTTTATACTGAGTGCGTATATTCATTAGATTTCTCTTGCCTTCACCTCACTCTTAGAGGATTTGCCTCACTCTTAGAGGTGGGGAGAGAGAAAGAAAGGAGTGATAGCTTCCATCTGTGGCTCACTTCCCAATGGCTGCAACCTCCTGAGAGAAAAATTTTCCTTCTACTGGCTCACTCCTCAAATGGCTGCAATGACTGGGATTGGGTCAGGCCAAAAGCAGGAGCCTGGAACTCGATCCAGGTCTGCAGTGTGTGTGCAGGGGCCCAAGTCCTAGGACCATCTTCCTCTGCTTTCTCAGATGCATTAGCAGGGAGTTGGACTAGAATTAGAGCAGCCATAACATTGGCCCCCTGGATTCAGATTTTCAAAGATCCCTCCTCATCCCCTTTGATTATTTTTTTAATTTTAATTTTAATTTATTTATTATTTGACAGGCAGAGTGGACAGTGAGAGAGAGAGAGACAGAGAGAAAGGTCTTCCTTTGCCATTGGTTCACCGTCCAATGGCCGCTGCGGCCTGTGCACTGAAGCTGGTGCACTGCGCTGATCCGAAGGCAGGAGCCAGGTGCTTATCCTGGTCTCCCATGAGGTGCAGGGCCCAAGCACCTGGGCCATCCTCCACTGCACTCCCGGGCCACAGCAGAGAGCTGGCCTGGAAGAGGAGCAGCCGGGACAGAATCCGGCGCCCCGACCGGGACTAGAACCTGGGGTGCCAGTGCCGCAGGCGGAGGATTAGCCTATTGAGCCACGGTGCCAGGCAGCCCTTTGATTATTTTTTAAAAGATTTATTTATTTATTTGAAAAGTAAACTTCCAGAGAGAGAGAGAGAGAGAGAGATAAGATCAGAAAGATTTTCCTTCCACTGGTTAGCTCCCCAATTGTCGCAATGGCCAGAGCTGGGCAATCTGAAACCAGGAGCAACAGCTTCCTCTGGCCATCTTCTGCTGCTTTCCCAGGAACATCAACAGGGAGCTGCATCAGAAGTGGAGCAGCTGGGACTTAAACCAGCGCACATAAGCTGGCACTGCAGGCTGGGCTTTAACCCACTGTGCCACAGTGCTGGCCCCCAAATGAAAATCTTAAAAAAAAAAAAAAAACCAAAAACCAAAATGAGTGTTTTTAATATCGTGATTTACGGCCGGCACCATGGCTCAATAGGCTAATCCTCTGCCTGCGGTGCCGGCACCTCGGGTTCTAGTCCCAGTCAGGGTGCCAGATTCTGTCCCGGTTGCTCCTCTTCCAGTCCAGCTCTCTGCTGAGACCCGGGAGTGCAGTGGAGGATGGCCCAAGTGCTTGGGCCCTGCACCCACATGGGAGACCAGGAGAAGCACCTGGCTTCTGGCTTTGGATCAGCGTGGTGCGCCGGCCGTAGCAGCCATTGTGGGGTGAACCAACGGAAAAGGAAGACCTTTCTGTCTGTCTCTCTCTCTCTCTGTCTAACTCTGCCTGTCCAAAAAAAAAAAAAAAAAAAAAAATTGTGATTTACATGGTTCCATGGACTGGTAGTTTTCATTTGCTGGGGCTTTTGTTCCAGTTTGGTGGAGTCTGGGTCCTCAGGACTGGGTTGTTGTTGCTGGCAGAGGGGAAAGGACTGGTCGAGGTGTGCAGCTGGAGTGCCTGTGAGTGGTTTTGCTGGTGGCAGTGGTATACATCAAGTGTTGGGTATGATAGGAAGAAGGTGCATTTTGTCTTATTTCAAAGGAAAAATGTTTCATTGTTTTTTAAGGGCTTGGGAGATGGTGGAGTTTAGTTTATAAAGATACTGAGGACTGGGTAGGCAGTGATGAATTCTGAAAAATGAATTTTGTAGTCCCTGCTTCCTGATAGACCCATGAGTTTTACCAAAGAGATGATGCTAATAACTTTTTAGAATTCTTCAAATTCTTTTTTTTCTGAAGATTTATTTTATTCATTTGAAAGGTAGAGCTACACAGAGAGGGAGAAGGAGAGATACAGAGAGAGATCTTCCTTGTACTGATTCAGTCCCCAGCTGCCCACACTAGCTGAGGCTGGACCAGGCTGAAGCATGGAACTCAGTTTGGGTTTCCCATGTGACTGGCAGAGGTCCAAATACTTGAGCCATCACCTGCTGCCTCCCTCTGTGTGCATTAGCGGGAAACTGGAATCAGGAACAGAGCCAGTTCTTGGACCCAGGCGCTCTGTTATAGGATACAGGCATCCTAACTTAATTGCTGTGCCAAATGTCCACTCTGAACTTTCTGAAATTCTGATCCTTGATTCTGAGGCCACAGATGTTGCCAGCATCCTACCTGGTCAGGAGGAATGCTGATTGCCAGTGGACCTTAGTTGCCAGGCCAAGGTCTCTCACATTGCCGTGTTGTGGGAAGGTGCCCTTTTCCTCCGGCTGTAAGAAGACTGTGTGTCTGCTTCTCCTTAGGGAGGAATGGGAGCTGCACTGCTGTCAGACCCTGACAAGATTGAGAAGGTAAGTCCTGTGTGGGTTGTGCACTTGGGCCATCTCCACTGCTTTCCCAGATCATAGCAGAGAGCTGGATTGGAAGAGGAGCAGCAGGGATATGGACCGGCGCCCATGTTGAATGCCGGCATCACAGGCAGAGGCTTAACCTACTGCACCGCAGTGTTGGCTCCTAAACTAGAGTAGCCTGAAATGTCTCCCTCCCCCTACTCCAGAATTCCTGAAGTCTGCCCACCCAGGCACTACATTTTGGGACTGGAAATTTTTCACAAGCTTCTTAGTGATGGTGACATGCAGTCAGGCCTGGGAACCCCTGAGACAGCCTACAGCAGCCTTGGAGTTCCTTAAAAGCCCAGAGTTTTGGATGTGTTAACTGCAAACCAGGGTCCTGAGGAGTCAGAGAGAGTCCCTGCCCCCTCCCGCTCTGTTCTGAGATTTATCAGGAGAGCAGAGGCCAGGCTACCTCTGGTGAGGACAGGCTCAGATGGCTATATGTGTGGTGTGGGCCTCTCTTAGGGGGCTTGAGAGCATCAGTGGGCCACCTGCAGACTGAGAGGGTCTGCCACTAGCTCTGAGAGCAGCCAGGCCAGGGTCATGTAGGGCAAGCTGAAGTTAGTCTCCCTCTGTCCCTCTTCCTCTCGGTGATTCCACATGTTGCCTTAATGAGGCCTTTAGAGGGGCTGGCATTTGCTTCCAAGGCACACCAGGGCATTTTCTGCTTCTTCGTATGTACCTTCTGCTTTTGTTTCATTGTCTTTTTTTAAGGTTTATTTATTTGAAAAGCAGAGTTACAAAAAGAGAGAGGGAGTGATATAGGGAGAAAGATCTAGACCGGCGCCGCGGCTCAATAGGCTAATCCTCCGCCTGTGGCGCCAGCACACCAGGTTCTAGTCCCAGTCGGGGCGCCGGATTCTGTCCCGGTTGCTCCTCTTCCAGGCCAGCTCTCTGCTGTGGCCTGGGAGTACAGTGGAGGATGGCCCAAGTGCTTGGGCCCTGCACCCCATGGGAGACCAGGATAAGCACCTGGCTCCTGCCTTCGGATCAGCGCAGTGCACCGGCCGCAGCACGCCGGCCGCGGCAGCCATTGGAGGGTGAGCCAACGGCAAAAGGAAGACCTTTCTCTCTGTCTCTCTCACTGTCCACTCTGCCTGTCAAAAAAATAATAATAATAAAATACAATAAAAATAAAAGAAAGATCTTCCATCTGCTGGTTTACTCTGTGGGTGGCCACAAGTGTCAGGGCTGGGCCAGGTTGAATCCAGAAGCTAGGGGCCCCATCTGGGTCTCCAGTGTGGGTGCAGGGGCCCAAGCCCTTGAGCCATCCTCAGCTGCTTTCCCAAAGCTCATCAGCAGGTAGAGATTGGAGGTGATGGAGCTGAAACTCGAACTGGTGCTCAAATGGGATGCCTGCATTGAAGGTGGTGGCTTAACCCTCTACGCCACAAGGCCAGCCCCACCTTTTGCTTTTGTCTCCCAGTCCACAGCTGTCCCCTTGTTGCTTCTATTAGTGCCTGTGTTTGCCTTTTCATTTTCTATCCCCACTTCCCTGCCTGGACTTTAAGCCTTGTGCTTAAATAGACTGACTTGGGACTCATGCAAGAGCTGCTCTTGTTGGTGCTGGCTGCTGCCTCAATAGTTCAACCCTGAATACTCCTCCAGTCCTGCTGTTTGTGGGATATAGGAAGACCGCCATGTTTGTTGGCTGGTGCCTTCTCATTTTTTCTCATGTGCAGCTACAGATTGTGTGTGTGTGTGTGTGTATATAGTGCTTAGATCTTGATCATTTTAAAGTAGTTTCCTTTTCAAAGTATATTCTAGTATGAATAAGAAATAAAAGCACTGACGGGGCCAGTGTTGTGTGGTGTAGCAGGTAAGTCCACCGCTTGTGATATTGGCATCCCGTGTGGGTGCCAGTTTGTGTCCTGGCTGCTTCACTTCCCATCCATAATGGCCTGGGAAAAGCAGCAGAGGACGGCCCTAGCGCTTGGGCTGCTGCTATCCATGTGGGAGACCTGGGTGAAGCTCCTGACTCCTGGCTTTGGCCTTTTGGTGAGAGACCCAGTAGATGGAAGACATCTTTCTTTTTCTCTCCTTCGCACTCTGTAACTCTGACTTTCAAGTAAATAAATAAATATACATTTTTTAAAAAGGATATAAAAACACTGAGAGTTAAAAACAATTTGCTCCAGATCATGTAGCAAATAAATAGGAGGCAGAGCCAGCCTTAGAGCCATAGTTTTACAAATCCTCGTTGGGCATCATTGTCCTTTCTCAGTGGCATCTGATTTAAGTTGCCTGGGTGTAGTTTTTAAGTGTTTAGCTGCAGTACAGTAGACACTTGCTTCACAACATGTACACAAAAGGATTTTGTTAACCCCCTCACTCCGCCCCCCAACTTCTGAGACCCATGCTGTTGGCTCCATTGTCCCCATTGCCCTGTTCTGAGTGAGGCAGATTTTATCCAGGAGGCAGAAGGGATATACTTTCCACCTTGGAAGCTTAGTTCATTCGCTCTATCTCTGGTGGGGTAGTCAGGTGGGCAGGGTCAAAGGAGGAGAGGGGGGTTGCCTCATGGAAGAGAGGTTGTAGGCTTCTACAGCAAAGAAGTCAGATATAACTTAGGCATGGGATGCTGCTGGAATTAAAAAAAAAAAAAGATTGATTTGAAAGGCAGTGAGGGGCTGGCGCTGTGGTGTAGTGGGTAAAGCTGCCGCCAGCAGTGCTGGCATCCCACATGGGCGCCAGTTTGAGTCCTGGCTGCTCCACTTCCAATCCAGCTCTCTGCTATGGCCTGGGAAGGCAGTGGAAGATGGCCCAAGTCCTTGGGCCCCTGCCCTCTGTGTGGGAGACCCGGAAGAAGCTCCTGGCTACTGGCTTTGGATCGGTGCAGCTCCACCTGTTGCAGCCATTCTGGGGAGTGGATCAGTGGATGGAAGACCTTTTTCTTTCTCTTTCTCTTTCTCTCTCACCTCTCTCTCTCTCTCTTTCCCACTCCCTCCCTCTCAAATAAATAAAATAAATGTTAAAAAAATTAAAAAGGCGGCCGGTGCCACAGCTCAATAGGCTAATCCTCCGCCTGCGGAACCGCACACAGGGTTCTAGTCCTGGTCGGGGTGCCGGATTCTGTCCTGGTTGCTCCTCTTCCAGGCCAGCTCTCTGCTGTGGCCCCGGGAAGGCAGTGGAGGATGGCCCAAGTGCTTGGGCCCTGCATCCCATGGGATACCAGGAGAAGCACCTGGCTCCTGCCTTTGGATCAGCGCAGTGCACCGGCCGCAGCGTGCCGGCTGGCCACGGCGGCCATTGGAGGGTGAACCAACAGCACAGGAAGACCTTTCTCTCTGTCTCTCTCTCTCTCACTGTCCACTCTGCCTGTGGGGGGGAAAAAATTAAAAAGGCAATGAGAGGGAGAGAGAGAGGTATCTGTTTCCTGGTTTACTCCCCAAATGCTGACAAAAGCCAGGGTTAGGCCAGACAGAAGCTAGGAGCCCAGAACTCTATCTCGATCTCCTTTGTGGGTAGCAGGGGCCCGAGCATTCGAGCCATCATCTACTGCTTTCTTAGGCTCATTAATGGGGAACTGGATCAGAAGCGGAGCAACTGGGGCTCAAACCAGCACTCCAGTATGAGAAGCTGTGGCTTGACCTGCTGTGACAAATACTGGTCTCAGGATTTGATTTCAGGCCCTGGCTGTGCTGGCAAGCTGGGTAACCTGGATGAAAACTTTGCGGGTCCTTCCTGGTTTGATGTTTTAAGCTTGGTCTCATGTATGAGAGTATCTCAAGACCACCTGCAGAAATTTTCTCAAAGATAGCTGTATGGGGTCACGAACAACTTTGGAAATATATAGTGATAATGGCTACACAATTTTGTGACTGCAGTTAGTGCCACTGAATTATTAAAAAAAGTTTTTAAGATATTTATTTATTTATTTATCTGAGAGGTAGAGCTAGAGAGAGAGGGAGAGAGAGAGAGAAAAGTGTTCTCATCCCTGGTTCACTCCCCAAATGGCCTCAACTGCCAGAGCTGGGCCAATCCAAAGCCAGGAGCCAGGAGCTTCTTCCATGTCTCCCACACAGGTGCAGGGGTTCAAGCACTTGGGCTATTTTCCACTGGTTTCCCAGGCTATAAGCAGAGAGCTGGATCAGAAGAGGAGCAGCTGGGATACCATCTGGCACGCAGATGGGGTGCCAGCACTGCAGGCAGAAGCTTAGCCTACTATGCTACAAAGCTGGCTCCATGAAAATGGCTAAGATGGCAAACTTTGCTCTATACATTTTATCCTAATTATTAAAACAAACAAACAAAACACCAGGATGCCATCTATTGAGAATTCTGTATACCTTTGTGGTGGTAGATGAAACAGGAGAAGAGGTTATCAGTCTTCAAAAAGCTTCTACCAGTTTACTGTGGTGTATCCTTCCTGGATTAAGAATCTCAGTTTTGGGGCCGGCTCTGTGGCGGAGCGGGTAAAGCCAACACCTGCAGTGCCGGCACTAGATCAAATCCCGGCTGTTCCACTTCCAATCCAGCTCTCTGCTATGGCCTGGGAAAGCAGTAGAAGAGGCCCAAGTTCTTGGGCCCCTGTACCTGTGCAGGAGACTGGAAGAAGCTCCTTGCTTCTGGCTTCTGATTCAGCTCCAGCTGTTGCAGCCATTTGGGGAGTGAACCAATAGATAGAAGACCTCTCTCTGTCTCTCCCTCTCTCTGTAACTCTACCTCTCAAATAAATAAATAAATCTTAAAATAAAGAAAAAAAATAATGTTTTCTTTTATTTATGGCCAGGCTGTAGCATGCCATTCTCCTGGACATGCAATTCTGCAGACCCCAGTTGTACCACTCGTCTCTGTGGTGTGGAGGTCTTGAGGGGAAAGGACCAGACAAGCCCATATCTGAGCAGAGTAAAGGACATCTGTGGAGGCAGGATTGTCCCACAGACCACTAGCTGAACCCTTGGAAAAGCAGAATCCTTGGCTTCCCTGGCGGCTGGGGACAGGTGGGAGGATGGGATAGGATGGGCCTCGGAAATAGTGAGACCTGAGTTCAGATCCTGGCCCTGTCAATTATTAGTCATGGAAGAAGTGCAGCATGTAAAATGGGATGCCCCGGGCAGCCAGGGTGTGCATGGGGAATCTGAGGTAAGGGCAAGAGAGAGAATATAACTGAATCTAAAACTGAGATTCTGGGTGCCCTTGGCCAGCGCCTAGGGCTTTTGGTTCCCTAATTTACTTCCTGGTGCCTAACATGCCCATGAAATGAGCAGAGATACTGAAGAAAGTACTTATAGCTCCTTGGATAAAATATACTGAAGGAATTTCTACAAGACAGAGAATTGGGTCAGACCAGCTGGCTTTGCTTAAATCTCCACATATCATAGGATTCCCAGTGAGGACTTGCAGAAGAACCTTCCAGAGATGTTGCTGTGAGCCTGAGGGATAGGACTGAAGCATTTTTGTTGTGTGTCCTAAGTGACATTGTGCCCTTTTAAAGCCTACTAGGATGACCCCAGGATCTTATGCCCAGTGTGCCTACTAGGGCAGCTCCTAGGGACTGTTCCTAGCTGCCAGTCTCTGGCGGCTGTACCTGGGCCAGTGGGCCTAGTCTTGTTCATGAACTGTCCCAGCTGTCTGCACAGCCTGTGGTTGGATGTCCTCTGGAGTGGCCCACTTGGGCTTTTGTTGCTAAAAAGCCTCTCCTACTGGCTCTGGCCGCCTGGCTCTCTGCTGCCCCCGCCTGTCTATGTAGAGTGAAGACTGGCGGCAGCTGTCCGTGTATCCCCCACTGCTCTGCTGGACAGAGATCCAGCTCTTGGAAGAGAGCTCTTGGGATCACCTTCCCTTCAGCTTGCCTGGCCTGAGAGTTTTGATGAGCGAAGGCAATACCATTGCCACAGACATGCAGTGTCATCCACACCTCTCTTGGTTTCTGGTTCCTGTGTGGTCTGGTCCTGCTATCTCCTCGACACTTTGCTGTGAGGCATCATCTTTCTTTGAAATCGTTTTCAATTACTGTGATGAGGTACTTCTTAATTTGTTGAATATGTTGTGTTTTCCTTGGCCAGTTCCACTCCTATAGAGAAGGGTGTGTGAGCACAGGCCCAGTCTTGTAAAGTCTTCCTGCTCCCTCACTGCAGGTCCTGGGATGGCAGTCAGGGAATGTCTTCTTCATCCAGGAAGGAAGCTGTCAGCCATGTGTCCTAAACAAGGGCATGGCTTGAAATCCTACTGAAGTCAGAGTGTGTTGGGCAAAGCCTTTTGAAGATTCCTAAGCCCTGCCTGTAGGGAATAATGAGGAATATTCAGGAAATAATGAGGTGGAATTCAAAAGTTTGTATTTTCGAAGCTTTCCAGGTTGATTCTGATGTTTGTCTTGGCTAAGGATCACTGTGTTCCACACAGGCATGTGTGCAGGTCTGTTCAGTCCCTCCCTCCCTCATTCATTCAGTGTATTTAACAAACACCTATGCACTGCCATGTGCCAAGCACATGGTGTTGGTGAGACTGCTGGTGGTGCAGCTTAGTGTAGAACAAAGGCAGACTCCTTGTGTCATGGAGCTTATGTGTTATATATGCACACCAGACACATATGTACCCTTGCATATCACCCAGCTGTCCGTGCCACTGGGCTGCACAAGTCTGTGGCAGGGTTAGTGAGTACAAGCAGTGTGGCTCTGTTTTCTCCTCCCCACAGATCCTCAGCACTCTCGTTAAAGGAACACGCAGACCTGTTACCTGCAAGATTCGCATCCTGCCTTCGGTAAGGGTGCTGTGCCACATTTGAAGGCCCGTTTCTCTTTGGTAATGTTGAATTTGGGGACATGAATGGTTGCTGAGGGGCTGAATTAGGTTTGGAGGAGGGGTTGGAGCTGAGCCCATTTTGGGAACCAGCAGCTGCCCCTTCCAGTTCCTCAGTGCCCACCCTGTGTGATCCTCTTTCTCAGCTAGAAGATACCCTGAGCCTTGTGAAGAGAATAGAAAAGACTGGCATTGCCGCCATCGCAGTTCACGGGAGGTGAGTGGTTGCCTTCCTAGGAAGTGACTGGCAGCTGGTTCTCAGCTGTCTTGACCATCCTCCACCAACCTCAGGTGACAACCAATTTCTCCTGTAAGCGTTTAGCCTACTTCCGGTGAGCTCTTTGACATCCTGTCTGTGGAGGGTGGTCACACCCTGAGAGGGTTGTGTTTTTGCTTTGTTCATCCACTGAGCACCTACTGGTGGTAGACACTGCACTGGGCTTTAGAGAGGCACAGAGACCAAGAGGAGGGAGAAATGCCTTTACCCTCAGGATGTGTGAACGATAGAGCTTGAATGATTGTTCAGAATCACATCATGCAGCCAGGAAGTGGTGGGATTAGAACTCTTACTCTGAATCTCAATTTCTTCCCACTATATTGTGTACCTGCTTCCCCTTTGAATGACAGCAGGGAGCCAGGGAGATTTTTTTTTAAAGGTACTGCCTGTTTGATCTGTCCTGTGGCATTACCAGCTATCCCAAAGACTGCTTTAACCAGTCCTAATGTCTATAGCTAATGTCCTGTCTGCTGGGAGCTGATGTGTTTCTGAAGGTTCCCTCAGTTTCCTTTTTTTTTTTTTTTTTTTTTTTTTTTTTTTTTTTGACAGGCAGAGTGGACAGTGAGAGAGAGACAGAGAGAAAGGTCTTTTGCCGTTGGTTCACCCTCTAATGGCCGCCGCGGCTGGCGCGCTGCAGCCGGCGCACCATGCTGATCCGATGGCAGGAGCCAGGTACTTACCCTGGTCTCCCGTGGGGTGCAGGGCCCAAGTACCTGGGCCATCCTCCATTGCACTCCCTGGCCACAGCAGAGAGCTGGCCTGGAAGAGGGGCAACCGGGACAGAATCCAGCGCCCCGACTGGAACTAGAACCCGGTGCCCCGGCGCCGCAAGGCAGAGGATTAGCCTAGTGATCCGCGACGCTGGCTCCCTCAGTTTCCTTTTATGAAACTGTGAATAAAACCTTGGTGCAGTGCCTGGCAGATTGTATCTTTAAAAAAAAAAATTTTTTTTTTTCAAGTCCAGAGTTAGAGAGTGAGAAAGAGAGTGAGAGAGATCTTCTATCTACTGATTCACTTCCTAGATGACCACAATTGCCGGGGCTGGGCCAGGCCAAAACCAGGAGCCAAGAGTTTCATCCGCATCTCCCACATGAGTGGCAGGGTCCTACATATTTGGGCCATCCTCTGCTGCTTTCCCAGGCCATTAGTAGAGAGCTGGACCATACATGGAGCAGCCGGGATTCGAACTGGTGCCCCTATGGGATGCGGGCACAACAAGCAATGGCCTTACTTGCTACACCACAACTCCGGCCCTGATAGTATTCTTTTAAAAGAGGACGCGAATTACTTTTGCCAGCAGTTGAAAATACTAGGAAGGCAGATTTGGATGAGTTTAAGGAAGGGATTTCTATCTATCAGTGCTCTTGAGGATGGTTTAAAACTATCTCTTGGAGATGTAGTGATAAAGAAGTGGAGGCTGGGCTGAGCAGGTCTTCTGAGACCCTGTGGCCCTTGATCCCGTTGTTAAGGAGTGTAGCAGAGGGGCCACCCTTGGAAAAGACCTGGGCAAGGGCTATCTGATAGATTATCTATCTTGCTTGTCTCTATGTGTAGCTCAGGTCAAGCCTCACCTCAGTGTCCCTAGTGTTTGCTCTCTTTCATGCACAAGAACTTTTTGCAATTGACCTTGGAAGAGGAGCTGCAGGTTGTGTCTCGCCTCCCCTTTGGCTTGTTGTGACAGCCATGGTCATTGGCCTGCCCTGTTGCCCTGGGCGCGAGGCCTGCCCCGTGTCAGGTGCCTCTCTCTAGGATCAGCTGCGCAACTTGGCCTCGGCACAGGCAGCTGTGTGGGAGTGGCTAGTCTGAGCAGTGGCAGCTGTTCCCTGTCCCTTGGGGAGGGCAGGACTGGGACAGTAGGGGCAATATTCTTATGACACTATCCCTCATCTCTGACAGAGGCAGGAGGGAAGCCAGGGGAAAGGAGTGTGACCTTGGGAGCCAGGCCATCCATACCGGCCCCTGGCAGCCCTGCCTCACCTGAGGCCTCTGAGAACTGGGCTTGTTTCCTCAGCGTGCGCCTGTGCTGCTCCTCCCCAGGGGTCAGGGCGCACCATCTCCTGCAACTACCCTTGGTGGCCGGTTGGCTGCCTGACCTTCCTGAGGCTCAGTGGGGAGGACAGGAGGACCCAACTGGAGTAGCCCTGTGTGAGTGATGACACGGCCTTTGGCACTCAGCCCTCAGCCCCATCTCTTCTTCATTTCCAAGGAAGCGGGAGGAGCGGCCTCAGCACCCTGTCAGCTGTGAAGTCATCAAAGCCATCGCTGAAACCCTCTCCATTCCTGTCATAGCCAAGTAAGCCCCCTTCCTTCCTCATTTATTATTTGTTATACCCTACCTTATTCAGAAAGGACTTGAGCTGGCATGTGAAATGTGGAACAAGATAGCATTACAAAATAATCATGAGAGAAAAGGAAAAAAGAATGAGACAAAAGTCAGGAGTTGGGAATGAGGTTGCAAAGTGCCTATCGTGTGGGTCAACCTGGCAAGAGGTTGACACAGTGTGCAGGGGCACAGCCAAGGCACTCCCATTGGACAGGCTGCGGCTGGGCATGTTCAGGAACAGGGGGAATAAGGAGGCAGCTGCTGAAGCAGGCCCAGGGGAAGATGATGTCATACCCAGAGGTAGGTGCCTGGGGTGTGGGGACCTTTGTAAGGAGCCTCAAGCCAGAGCTCGTGGTGCTGTGGTTCAGGGAGCGTAAGGTAGGTGATAGAAGCCTAGGCAAGCATTCTGGGCAGCTGTAGGATGAGGAACCTACACTGGCATATGTGAGGCACAGTGACCAGCCCAGAGACTTAATGATAAGATAGTCCCCAGTTGCTATGGGAAGCAGGACTGGGTGGGCCAGCTGGGAGTCCAGCTCAGCCTACACCTTAGCATGGCACAGAGTCTGAGGGAGGGTATCTGGGAAGCTGGGGACAGAGAAGGCCCAACAGAAGGCTTGCCTGAATGGTGGGAGGGAGGAGCTAAGGGAGGGGCCAGACCCCAACTTCCCCAGGGCAGAGAGGTTTTTTATTTTTCTTTTTGGATTTATTTTATTTTATTTATTTCTTTGACAGGCAGAGTTAGACAGTGAGAGAGGTCTTCCTTCCATTGGTTCACCCCACAAATGGCCGCTATGGCCGGCGCACTACGCCGATCCGAAGCCAGGAGCCAGGTGCTTCCTCCTGGTCTCCCACGTGGGTGCAAGGCCCAAGCACTTGGGCCATCCTCCACTGCACTCCCGGGCCACAGCAGAGAGCTGGCCTGGAAGAGGAGCAACTGGGACAGAATCCGGTGCCGCAACTGGGACAGAATCCGCTGCCCCAACCGGGACTAGAACCCAGGGTGCCAGTGCCGCAGGCGGAGGATTAGCCTAGTGAGCCGCGGCACCGGCTTGGATTTTTTTTTAATATTAGTGTTCATTAGTTTTTTTTTTTTTAAGATTTATTTATTTATTTGAAAGTCAGTTACACAGAGAGGGAGGGAGAGACAGAGAGAGAGGTCTTCTGTCGTCCGCTGGTTCACTCCCCAGTTGGCCGCAACTGCCAGAGCTGCGCCAATCCGAAGCCAGGAGCCAGGAGCTTCTTCTGGGTCTCCCATGCGGGTGTAGGGGCCCAAGGACTTGGGCCATCTTCTACTGCTTTCCCAGGCCATAGCAGAGAGCTGGATTGGAAGTGGAGCAGCTGGGATTTGAACCAATGTCCGTATGGGATACTGGCACTGCAGGCAGTGGCTTTACCTGCTATGCCACAGCACTGGCCCCTGCTATATTATTTCATTTAGTGCTCCTAGCTTCATAATGGGGTATGTATTGCATTCTATGCTTTACTGAAGCTCTGATAGTGGGAGGGACTTGGCCAAAGCTATGTTGTTAATGAGTGGCAGATCTGGGTGTTGCCTTTTTCTGACATTGCTTTTATGTTCCATAATGGGGATACCTCTAACCCTGCTGTTGTTTTGCAGCGGAGGATCTCATGACCATATCCAACAGCATTTGGACATAGAGGACTTCCGACAAGCCACAGCAGCCTCTTCAGTGATGGTGGCCCGAGCGGCCATGTGGAACCCATCTATCTTCCTCAAGGAGGGTCTCCGGCCTCTGGAGGAGGTCATGCAGAAGTACATCAGATATGTACGTCTCTGCGCTTTTCCAAGACAACATTCCTCACATCTGCCTTGTGCCTGCAGAGAGTACTTTGTGTGATCCTCTGGCTGCTAGCAGTCCCTATTGTTCTTCTCTTTTTCTTTTTAGCTGTTGTTGTATAGCCTGAGGTCTTCCCACGTGCGGTGTGAAGAGAGGGTGCTGGAGTTGTGCTCCCACATAGCCTCCTCCTAAAGCTTCCAGAGGTGTGGAGGTCATAGCAAGGACCTTCAGGATTCAGGATGCTGTTGGGACTCCAGACGCTTGATAGCTTTCTTCTCTCTCATACTGTATACCGTCCACACATGCGTGCACGTAGACAATGGGTTCTGTGCCACCGAAGGCACGTATCTATCGATTGGCATAGGAGCAGCCAGAACCAGGAGGAGCCATTGTAGCTGTTGGGGACAACAACAACGTGTCCACAGAGACTTCTCACCTGATTGAACTCATCAAAGTCACTTCTAACCATTGCTAATTCTTAGAATGCTTTAGCCTGTGACTTAGAAAATTGCCCAATTTTAATCCTCTCCTTAGGGAATAATGTTTTCTAAAGCACTTTCTTCTCACTGGGAACTTGATGATAAGAGCCAGGGGCATTCATTTCCCTGCAAGGGCTTTTTTTTTTTTTTTTTTTTTAGACAGGAGGATTTGGGGGTGGTGTGGAGGTGAGGGAGTGAAAACTTTCCCATATGCTGCTTCACTCTCCAAATGCCTGCGTCAGCAGGGACTTGGCCAGGCCAAAGCCAGGATCTCAGAACTCAGCCAGGTGGCAGGGACTCAGCTACTATCACTGCTGTCTCCCAGGGTGCACATTAGCAAGAAGTTGGAATTGGGAGCAGAGCTGCGACTCTAACCAGGCACTCCTATATGAGATGCAGGCATTTTAACTGATAGCATAACCACTATATCAAATGTTAGCTTCTACAAAGGAATTTTTTATGAGTTCACTTGTCCTGTTTTTTTGTTACTACCTCGGGAACTCTGATCAGCTGCACATGTCTATAGATAGCAGCAGTGAGTGTTCCTCAAATTCCTCACTGAGTTGGGCCTGACAGAAGGTGCAGCCCTTGCCTAGAGCAGACTTCATTCCTCTCTTCAGTCCTAGGTATATCCTGGCCATGGCCAAGCCATGGTTGTGCCTGTGCAGATGTGGGTATTCCCATGATTTGCAAGCTGCGGATGCTAGGAGGCCATGAGGTCTGGCGTGGAGCAGGCAGCCTCTGTCCTAAGCTTCTCCTCCTCAGTGTTGCAGCCCTCATCTCCTGTTGGGAGGCTGGTGACTACCAGCCCTCCAGTGGCCTGGGTCAGCTACTGGCAAGGGGGGTTTGTCTCAGCCCAGGTCAGCTGTCCAACTTTGTGGCCAGATAGCATGCCTGTGTCTGAAAAGACATGTTTAGTAGTGCTGAGCTTGCTCACTGGGTGAAAGGTGATGTTATCATTCCTGCTCAGCCTGTCCCTTGGCAGCTCCTCAAGAGGGTGTGTTGTCATGGAGAAAGGGAGTGACTTTTGAGAGCACAAGCAGGTCTGCTTCAGCCAGGTGCCTTCTGTCCCAAACAAGCTGAATCAAGGCCTTGCTGCCAACCAAGGCTTACTCTTAGCTTTGTCCTGCATGTGCCATGGTCACTTCCCAGGCACTGAAGACATAGGCCCCAGTGGAAATCCTAGAATAGTGTAGGGTGGGGGCTCTGAAAGGCTGGGGCCAGCAACCTCTCAGTGCTGCTATACCCACAGCCAGGTAGGCTTCCCCTGGTACCCCTGAGCCGTCATCTTGCCTCCTGAGCTCGCCTTTCCTAGGGCATGATGTGGTGGTAACAGCTGTACCTCACACTTGCATACATAAATGAGATGATAATGAACACATGTGAACACACTTGGGAACTGGTGCTATGCTTTGCCTGTGTAGGGAGAGTTGGAGAGAAGCTGGTGAAGATGTGGCAGGGAAAGGTACCACCTTGGTTATAAGGAATAGAGGAATCATCCCTGTCCTGGAGCTGGACCTGCCATGCCAGAACTTGGTGTGTTCCCCCTCCCCACCATGGAACAAGCTTGGCAGCAGTCTTCTGTGGTAGCCTGTGGTGGCTGATGCAGGAGGGGGCTGCCTGCACTTCTCAGCCTCATGCAGGCTCTCCAAGAGAGGATACTCCTAACCAAGGGACCTTGGCTGTGACCCTGAAACTTTGTCCCACTGGTCGATGGCCAGGGTGAATGGGGTTCATCTTATGAGGTCACATTGCTTCAGCTGCAAACACACATCTGATGCCCTCTTGGAACCACTTTCCCTGCCACTGGAGTATAGCTCAGGCCTCAGAACTTGCTGGGTAGCAGACTGGCTCATTCTAGTTCTTCTCTCAGGCGGTGCAATATGACAACCACTATACCAACACCAAGTACTGCTTGTGCCAGATGCTACGGGAACAGCTGGAGTCATCCCAGGGAAGATTGCTCCATGCTGCACAGTCTTCCCAGGAAATTTGGTAAAGGGGAAATGGGCTATCCTTCTGTTATGGGCAGACATTGCCCGTGGTTTACCTTGTGCCCTAGGTTGATTGCTAGGGGGCTACCCGTCTGCTTCTGTACTTCCACTCCTATGCTCAGACTGGGTCCTTGGCTCTCTCTGTCCTCCTCCTTCCTCCGAGAAAGTTTCTGAACCACTCTCGCCCTCCGGGAGCCATCTCTCGGGAGTCCTCCAGCCCTCAGGATGCTTCCAGGAAGGAAAAAGCCTTGCCAGACCCTCCTCCCACCCCAGCCTGTGGTGTTGTTTCTGTCCCCACCCTGCATGGCTTAACCAGCCTGACTCAGGTGTCTTGTGAGTGAGAGACAGAGTATAACTTTTTTTAAAAAATATTTTTAAATTTATTTGAAAGGCATATTTATAGAGAGAGAGAGAGAGAGAGGTCTTTTATCCCCTGGTTCACTCCCCAAGTGGCCGCAGTGTCAGGAGCTGTGCTGATTCGAAGCCAGGAGCCATGAGCTTCTTCCAGCTTTCCCACATGGATGCAGGGGCCCAAGGCCTTAGGCCATCTTCTGCTGCTTTCCCAGGCCGTACTAGAGATCTGGATCAGAAGTTGAGTAGCTGGACCTTGAACTGGTGCCCATATGGGATGCTGGAACTGCAGGCAGCAGCTTTACCCATTATGCCACAGTGCTGGCCTCCAGATTTTTTTAGACAGGCAGAGTGGACAGTGAGAGAGAGAGAGAGAGAGAAAGGTCTTCCTTTTGCCGTTGGTTCACCCTCCAATGGCCGCCGCGGCCGGTGCGCTGCAGCCGGCACACCACGCTGATCTGATGGCAGGAGCCAGGTGCTTCTCCTGGTCTCTCATGGGGTGCAGGGCCCAAGCACCTGGGCCATCCTCCACTGCACTCCCTGGCCACAGCAGAGAGCTGGCCTGGAAGAGGGGCAACCGGGACAGAATCCGGCGCCCCGACTGGGACTAGAACCCGGTGTGCTAGAGCCGCAAGGCGGAGGATTAGCCTAGTGAGCTGCGGTGCCGGCCAGAGTATAACTCTTAATTTAGGCAACTGCTTGTAGCAGGTGAAGTAGGGAACCACTCCGTGGTCAGGCGTCCATCTCTCCTTCCTATGGGCCCACATGAGGAATAGACTATGCACACCCCCGGTGCTTCATCAACACCAGTCCTGACTGAATGGAACCATCCTACTGTGTGTTCCTCCTTGAGAGAAAGGCTGTAGGTGGTGGAGTGAACCTAAGAACATTTTGCCTCCCAGCCCAGCTTCCCTCTGGTGTCCATGCTCAGGGATTCCTCTGCAGTTTCCAGGTTGATCCCAGGGATGGGCAGGAGGCATCTCCTGACAGCCAGGCCCTAGTGGCATTTTGGTGTTTATGGTGGGTTCCTGGGCTTTTGTGGCAGTCTGGATGCTTACTGTGTTCTGCTTCTCCCTCCATAGTGAGGCCTTTGGCCTTGGTGCCTTCTACAAGGAGATGACACAGAAGCTGGATGCCCGGCGGGCTGAGCTCTTGGCCAGAACTCCGAAAGAAACAAAGGAGCCAGCTGAAGATACCTCTGGTGTCATTAAGATGGCTGTCAAGTTTGACCGGTAGGTCTTCAGCTTGGCTTCAGCTTGGGCCAGGGCCAGTGTCCTCAGGACTGGGCCAGCAAGAGGACTGCTGTATGTGACTGATGCCAAGCTTAGAGACCTGATATCTTCTTGGTTCAGACACTTATTCTCAATTCTCGGTATCCCAAAGAAGGTGCTTTCAGGGATGACAGCCCCTGACCACCCAGGCAGTGCTGCTGGAGGCACACATGCTGTCCCAAGAGTGATTGAACTCTGCTTTTTCCCCAACTCTCCTCCTCCTCCAACTTGGGGCAGGGGGACCTACCTCCTGTTCCTGAAAGTCTGTGCTTCCCTGTGGTCCTAAAGAGCTGGGTGCCTGTCTGGAGCTCCCTCTTAGCAACTGATTGGCTCTGCAACCCCTGCCCATGCCCAGTGCTGCTCACTAGCCCCGTGGTGCCCTCCCTCAGCAGAAGTACCTTAGGCTGATTCCTGCTTCTATGACTCAGCTTTGAATGATGCTCTCAACATTGTCATCTGCCATCCAGTCCCCAGGCTAGACCAGGAGCCTGTCTTGTCTGACAAGGATTTCAGATTCTGAAGACAGCTGTTGGGCAGTCAAATGCCAGGGAGAGCTCCCAGTTAGAAGATGGCCCCTCTTACCCTGTCACCTTCTGTTACTAACCAGCTCTGGAAGTGCAGTCCACTGTGGCAGCAACAGATCATTCTGACAGTCACAGACATAATCAGGGTGAGCACTGAGATCCCTGAGGTCACTGTATGGACACCTATGTTCCAGAACCCACCTCTACCCCTGCCCTACTAATCCTGTCTTGAGAGGTAAACCAAACCTTTCTTCTTGGCTGTTGAAGGCTCAGCATACTGGGAGTTCACTGTCTCCTGCCCTCTCCCCCTACCAATTCCTCAGGCATGCCAAAGCCATCTTCCCAGGTCTCAGGCTGCAGGCAGGACAGAATGGGAGCCCAGTTCAATATGTACAGGAGCCTTAAGGCAGCAACCTAGTGTTAGAGTTCTGCCAGTTCTTGCAGCTCATATCAGGAACTAAATATGGCCCTTGCAAGGGAGGGAGTGGATGGTGGGCCGGCCCTAACTGCTTCCCTCCTTTCCCAGGAGAGCATATGCACCCCAGATCACCCCCAAGATGTGCCTGCTGGAGTGGTGCCGGAGGGAGAAGTTGGCACAGCCCACATATGAAACAGTGAGTACTAACCGTGGCCTGCCCTGCAGTCAGCCACAGGGATCCTATGGCTAGTGTCATCAACTCAGCACACCAACAGCCAGGAGAACCTCATTTCCAGAATGCTTGGCCAGAGCCTAGCCTGGCCTCTGCAGGCATGAAGAGGTTGCTGGGGGGCTGGATCAGTTGCTAATAGCCCTCCCTTCTGACCATGGCTTATCATCCAGTTCTGGAAGATGTGCCTTTGGATCAGGCCTTGTCCAGGGTAACCCAGAATTGGACCCAAGACATGAGAGCCCCTGGGGTGGAAACCTTGAGATAGTTTTGCTTCACTTCCTTTGGTCCTGATGGCCCTGCCTCATCTGGGCTGCTCTGCCTCTTTTTGGACTTCCTGACCTCCAGGCTTGAACATTTAGGGCCTCGTGTCCCTCTCTGCCAAAATGACTTTTCCAAAAACAAATCTAACCTTGTCCGTCCCTCTTACTCAAGTATCAGTTCCCTCTTGTCTGTGGAGTGAAGCCCTAGTGCCTCAGTATAAAGCACAAGCACCACCTCCCAGGCCTTGCTACTTTGGGTTCCATCTGCCCAGCCCTCTGTGCTAGCCAGGTGTGCCTTCTCTGCTTCCAGCCTCCTCTGTTCCCTGTCCTCTTTCACCCCTTTGCCATCCTGTGAACTCTTAATTTTTGGGGTCCTGGCCCGTGCAGATGTCAGCAGGAAAAGGACCCATAAGTCATCTGTTGCGAAGGGCTCATGTGGCCCTTTGCTTAGGTCCATGACAGGACTCTTGATGTCACTGTCTGTGTATCTGTCTTTCTTCCCTGGAAGATGCACCTGGCACTTTTGCTTGGGAGAGCATGTGATAATAGGGAATTTTCATCTGACTTAAGTTGGAAGTTCTTCTCTTTATCTGCCTTTGATGTGATCCTGGTAGGTAGACCTTTAGGGCTCTACAGCCAGCCGTGTTTCCTTTGCTTTTTTCCCCAGGTTCAACGGCCCCTAGATCGCCTGTTCTGTTCTGTTGTCACTGTTGCAGAGCAAAAGTACCAGTCTACCTTATGGTGAGTTTCCTCATCAGAGGGCATGAGGCTTTGGGTGGTGGACTTGAATCCAGTGTTGGCCTGGGAGGGTTGGGCAGATGGTGTGCATGAGCAGTGGTGTCCCTGGATGGTGATCCCTTTCTCAGTTCTGGCAGAATCTCTGCCAAGGGTGTACAGAGTCAGGCTCCCAGCCTCTAGTCCTGTTTACCCACCTGCCTTATTGTCCTATGCCTTGTCTGCCCAGGGACAAGTCCAAGAAACTGGCGGAGCAAGCCGCGGCCATCGTCTGTCTGCGGAGCCAGGGCCTGCCTGAGGGTCGGCTGGGTGAAGAGAGCCCCTCCTTGTACAAGCGCAAGCGGGAGGCCTCTGACCAAGACCCTGGGGGCTGTAGAGCTCAGGAGCCAGCACTGCCTGGGGAAATGTGCAAGAAGCCCTTTGTAGCCTTGGAAAGTGGTCAAGGGAGCCCCCTGGAAGGCTGGTGACTACTGTCCCTGCCCTGGTCAGCCCCTCCCTGGGCCTGGCTCTAAGGTGGCTGTGGGTGCTGGAGCATAAGCTGGAAACCATTGGACAGTTTGCTGGCCCAGCCTATCAGAAGTGAGAGGTGCTGGCCTGGGCCATCAGCCTGCAACATGGACCAAGGAGTACCCAGGATTGGATTCCTATCTCCCTTGGTGGGTCTCAGGGGTGGGGCCAAGGTCCTAGCAACTTCAGTGTTTTCTTTGAAGATGGGCTTTTCAGGTGGCACTTCTCCAACCTGACACTGGAACAGTGCAATAAAGACAACCCCCACCCTCACCTAAGGCTGGCTGCTTCAGCCTTGGGCACCTTTACACATGGACTTGTATCCTGAACAATTACTCTGCTCCCCACCTCTGCAGAACTGAGGCTTCCTAAAGGATGCCCCCACTCTTCCTTAAGGGTCTGGTAGAGGAGGGGGATGGGTGTCCCTCTTTTAGGCTCACTGGACTTGGGCTGAGCCTGTAAGGCCCAAAAAAACCCATTCTAAAGATGAGAAACTTGAGGCACTGGGCAGTCATTGGCTTTCCTGATGAGAGGTTCCATGGAATCTGGAGGAAGGACTAGGTTATGTGGTGCCCCAGTAGGGGATACCAGTAGGGTTAGGGGTGTTGGCCTGATGCCCAGAGTCGACTCGGAGCCTGACAGCTGGCTCTGCCTCAGACTGATGAGGTACCTCTGTGGGCAGGTGGCCCTGCAGGCTGCTGACAGCAACAACTTAGCTTTGTGATTGTGAAGTCAGGCCACTGCCCTCCCTGTTTCCCCCATCCCACTGGGGGCGGAAGGAAGTGGCAGATTCTCTTTAATTTCCTCCTGGCAGTGAGAAATGAGAAGCAAACAAACGGCCACCGCATCTCACCACAACTCTGGGGCCTCCCCCGCTTACTGGGAGGGGCCTTCTGACCAAAGGTCCCTGCCTGCCCCGCCCCCACTTCCTCGGCTGTAAACAGGCTGCTGCTCTTCTCTGCCAGGCAGGCTCTGTTGGGGGGATTCCCTCCTGGGCCAAAGCCAGGTTTCCCACATCTCCCTCGTGTCAGCCTCATGGCTCTGTGGGTCAGGTGCCTGTGCCACCGGTAGCCTCCAGCCCTGCTGGCCTCTTCTTGAGCTGAGGGTTTGGCAGGTAAAGCCTTTGCTGTCCTGGCACTGCCCCTCCCTGGGACACACACTTGCTCTTCTGTGTGCAGATAAGGATACCACACTACTAGCTGCCTTCCAGAGTCAATCACTGTTTGACCTTGGGCAACTCACTTCTAGCCCTCTCTGGCCCCAGGGCCCTGAGTGTGTGCTCAGCTGTCGTCTGCCTGCTGAGGCTGGCTGGCGGATAAGGGCTGGGCCTGTGATGGTGGCACTGCATGGCTAATGGGATCACTTCATGACAAGGCTGTCCTGACTTCCCAGACTAGTACTCCCAGCAAAGGGGACCCACCCAGGGGAAGGACTTGAGGCCTGGTTAATTCTTAGCCACCAAGCTGTAGGCACAATTTATGATTCTACCAGAAAGTGTCTCAATCAAAACGTGCCCTTTGCCTTTTCTCATACTCCAAGTGGAACAGAACAGCCCCAGTGGACCCCCAGGCACTCCTGGGGAAGACTCTGTGGGGATGGAGACCTAAGATCCACTTCCCTGGTGGGGCTGGGCTTTGATCCCAGGTCTCTTTTCCCACTAATGTGGTTTCCCTGGGAAAGCCTCTCCTCTGGCAGGGTCAGGTTCATTTCTGGGCTGTGGGGAGAGAAAAGCAGAGGCAGTGGTCTGCTGTTAAAAAAGAAACTGGATGAGGGGAAGGGGTTTTTGAGGGCCTGGAAAGCACTGGGAAGAGGTTTATTCACCATGGAGTCAAGTGACCTGCCCAAGACCTGGGAATGACCTCCTCACCATGCTCACCTTAAAATAGGCCGCTTGGACTCCCAAACCCCTCCCTGGGCTAGTAGCCGCACGCTTGTCCTTTCTGGCTACCTGGACTGAGGACTTCTCCTTAGCTCCTCACATTTTGAGGACAAATGGTTTTGGTATGAACAGGAAAGGGAAGGATGAATAAGGCAAGAGAGGTGGCAGGTCTTCACAGGCCACACAAAGGATTCTTTGGCAAAGACTGCAAACTAGTGGGGAATCTGGTGCCTGCAGGCCTGCACTCTGAGGTCTTTGCAGTTGTTACTCCTGCTCAGAACTCTCTCATGACTGAGACTGCCCTCTGGATCAAGTCCAAACTCCTCAGCCTAGCGTTTGAGGACAAAGTGCTGATCCTGTCTTCTCAGCTCCCTCTGCTGACTTCAGCAACTATCTGAGATTGTAGTTGGCTGGTCATACCCTCTCTGCCCAGATTGGTAACTGCTCAAGGGCAGTCCTTGTGTCCCCTATGGCTAGCCTTGTCATAGAGGTGGGGAGTAGGCACAGAAGAAGAATCAAACAAGAGCCGTGGGGTTGGGAGAGGGGAGGAATGTGTGGCATGGAGAGGAAGAACTTTTTGAAACTGACTTTCCATCAAGGCTCTGTTTTCACTAATAGTGGGCCAAGGGATGGATTCCGCTAAGCTGTACTATCCATGGCTCTGAGTACAGGAGAACTTTCCACAATGGGGGCTAGGGCTAGGCCTGTGGCAGCTGATGAAAGAGATGGCCATCCCTAATTCTCAGGCCTGGCATTCACCCAGGAGGGAGAGGGGCTGTGCAGAGACCCACACGTTTGTCTACAGGGGGTTTCTATTTGCTGCACTGCTTCCCCCAGGTCTCTGGCTTCATGGGGCTCTGAGAGCGCTGGAGGCAAGTCAAATGACCAGCAGGAGTTTGCAGCCTGCCTGAGGATGAGTTCATGGGAGGTGGTCCTAGCCCTAGCTGGGGAAAAGGAGGGGAATGAGTGTGCATATCAGTGTGTATATGGGCAGGCCCTTTCACAGAGTAAAGAGCTCCCAGCCTTTGCTGCTTTTTGTTCTCTCTTTCATTTGAAAGGCATAGTTACAGAGAAGCAGAGGCAGAGAGAGATTTTCCATCTGCTGGCTCACCCCCCACATGGCTGCAACAGGCGGAGCTGGGCTGATCCAGAGCCAGGAGCCTCCGCCGGGTCTCCCACGCGAGTGCAGGGGCCCAAAGACTTGGGTCATCTTCTACTGCTTTTCCAGGCCATAGCAGAGAGCTGGACCAGAAGAGAAGCAGCCAGGACTAGAACCATCCTGTATGGGATGCCAGCACTGCAGGCGGCAGCCCTACCCGCTGTGCCACAGCACTAGCCCCTACTGCTGCCTTTCTTACAAAGATAGTATCTCTTCCCGCAGTGCCCTCATTACTCCCTGTTAGATTTCCAGAAACCCTCCCCAGAACATAATCCCTTGTAAGTGTTGTACAGGTACTCAGTGGCTTCGGAAACACATGCAGTTGAGCATTTGATGAATGAGTTAATTTTCAAGCCATCTCCAGCTGCTCTGTGGTCCCTTCTCAGCCATGGGGCTGACAGGCCCCAGCTCTTCTTCCTGCCTCCCTGTCTGAGCCCTGGTTCAGGTGCAGACAAGTCTATGGGGAAGCAGGGCTGGATGAAAGTCCACTTTCTCAATCCAGATGACAACCTGGCAGGTAGGTGTGTGGGATTGGGGAGGGACACACATCATGAAGTTGGCTTACATTTTATGGGGAGGAGCAGGGGAGTTGGCCAAGCTTCTGGGATCTGATACAAGAATCATGCACGAGGTGGGCCAGCCACCTGCCTGGGTAAGTTCTACTCTCTCCCTTGGGTTGGAGATCCTCTGAAGGTGGCAGAGCTTGTTGGGAAGGGTGTTCCACTCACCTAATACCATTTGCTCCCTCTCCTTGCCCGGTGTTATTTTCTCTCCATCTTAACCCCATTGCTGGCTTCTCCCCGGTGAAATCCAGTGTTCTATCCAGAACTCTGACCATTTAAGTCCCCTGCTCTAAACCTTTCCATGGCTCCCTACTGCCCTAAGGAAGAAGAATTAAAAAAAAAAAAAAAGATTTATTTTTTACTTGAGAGTCAGAGTTACAGAGAGGAGAGGCAGAGAGAGAGAGAGAGAGAGAGAGAGAGAGAGAGAGAGAGATCTTCCATCAAATGGTTCACTCCCCAGTTGGCCGCAACGGCCAGAGCTGTGCTGATCTGAAGCCAGGAGCTTCTTCCGGGTCTCCCATGTGGCTGCAGGGGCCCAAGGACTTGAGCTAGCCCCTGCTGCTATCCCAGTGGAGCAGCCGGGACTAGAAACGGCAGCCATATGGGGTGCCGGCGCTTCAGGCCAGAGCGTTAACCCGCCGCGCCACAGCACTGGCCCCTAAAGACTTTATTTTAATCCTGCAACACTCAGCCTACTCATCCAGCCTCATCTTTGGCTTTTGCCCACTGCTTTCTGGTCTCCAAATCTTTGGAAATCTGTTTTCTGCTCTTCTCACCTCCTGCCCCTCTCTCCAATTCCTACTCACTTTTGTCAAGGCCTTGCAGCCAGGGAGTATGTGAGCCTTCTCTGAGCTCCTGGTATAGTCCTAATCTCTGCACAATAATTACAGATTCAGTGTTTCCTTCTCCCCTGCCCCTGAAGGGTGCACCCCCTGGTCCAGCACAGTAGACTACTGGCAGGAATGAAGTGACCTGATCTAAGTGTCTCACATACTCTGAACATCCCCTATTCAGTTCAGAGACCTATTTGGGCTCCCCTAAGGACTCCTTGGTAACTCCAGTATTAGTGCAGACTTTGAGGCATTTGCAAGGAGTGTCCTTTTCCCCCCTACCACTGGTGGTGTGGGATGTGCAGTGGGCCCTGTGAGGTAGCATTTCTGGGACCTCACACCTGCACCCATGGCCCTGAGACAACACCCTGGGTCCCTCCAGCAAGGGGCATCTAGGAAAACTAGGGGGAGGCGGGAGAATTCTCTCCCTAACTCCCCATTTACCCTAATCTTTGGTGAATCCTTAAGTCAACAAGCAGGGCTCATGGCCTGGAGCACTGCCTATACGCCTGACCCCAAGAGGAGGCATCCAGGGCCATCTCAGGGGAAAGTAGAGTTGCTGGGGAGGGGCCAAGCGTGAAAACCGTTATTCATACAGTGTCACATCCCCCTGTCAGCCACCTGGTTTGGGTGACAGGATGTGCATCAGGGTGGCGAGGGCAGAGCTGCGAGTGGTGCCAGTCAACAAAGGGCTTTCCCACTGCCTGCTCAGCCTCAGTAGGGCACAGGGCCCAGAATGATCATGCTGTTCTTGAAAGATTGGCTGCATAGGTCAGCTAGTGGGAGCAAAAGCACTGCCATCAAGGTGTGGGCCCCGCCCCGCAGGGGTTGGTCTTCAGGGACCGCGAACTCATACTTGTGCAACCCTGGTCTCTTCAGCTCCGCCCCAACATAGTTGAAAGTTTACGTCAAGTCCTTGACCTCTCTAGGCTCCCCCATTAAGGCTGAAGTGGGGAGATGAGGGTTTGAGTGGCCTCCGGAAAATCCTCCGGGGGGGACCGTATGCCTTCCGTAAACCCAGCGGTGAGGAGTCACTTCTGCGGCGGGCCATCACGGAACCGATAATCCCAGAATTATGGCGCCCCTTCTTCGACGTGAGCCCCGCCCAGTGAGGGAAGGAGGCTTCTATTGGCTGACGGTGGGTCCCTCGATCCAATTAGAAAGGGCTTTCGGCTTGACGGCTTGACGTGCGTCTTGCAGAGGAGTCGCGTAAGGAATAAAGGCAAAACTACAACTCCCGAGAGGTAGCAGGGCTCTTTGGCCGCCGTTGTCATGTGACTTCCTCCTCCTAGGGAAGGAGTCACGCGATAGGTCGGTGAAGGGGCGGGGTGCTTGGCTTGTTCGTGGCGCCCGTGGCCTATGGGCTGCTCAGCCGGATGGGCGCGCGGCAGAAGGCGGGGCCAGGCGCGCAACACAGCGCGAGAGCGCGCGGCGGCGGCGGCGACTGTTGGGGGGCGGGGAACCTTGGCTGAGGCGGTGGTGGCGGCTTAGGCACTGGCTGGCTGCTGGCGGCGGCAGCTCCTGGTGCAGCTCGGCGCGCGGCCAGCCTTCGAGTTCGGGACGGAACGCTCGGCGTAGCGGGCCTTGCCGGGAAAGTTTGCGGTGGACCCGGGACCTCCTGGCCGGCGCGGCCCGGCATGAAGCGGCGCTAAGGAACCGTCGCCGCTGCCGCTGCTGCTGCCGCCGCCGCCTGAGGAGAAGTCGCAGCACCCTGGGCCACGCCGATGACTACTGCAAACTGTGGCTCCAACGACGAGCTCGACTTCAAACTCGTCTTTGGCGAGGACGGGGCGCCGGCGCCGCCGCCCCCGGGCTCGCGGCCTGCAGGTGGGTGACGGGCCGGGCAGGATCGATAGTCCCCTTTCCTCAAACGAGCTCGCGCCCCCTTCCTGGTCCCTTGATTGTCCCGCGACTGGTAACCCCGTGTGTGTGTGTGTGTGTGTGTGTGTGTGTGCGCGCGCGCGCGGGCGCGCACGCGCGTGTTGAGTGGAGAGCGAATTTAAACTGCTGAGGAGGCGTGTGGGTCGCAGCGACGTGGAACTAGTGGGGAGCTGGGCTCCGGGACTCCTGTGGCCGGTGGACGCCCGGGATTTGGAGGCCGAAGCTAGGGGCGGCTGCCCAAGTGGCGTCTGACTGTCGCTGCTTTGCCAGCGTGGTAGAAAATGTTCTCGTCCCTGTAAAGTGTAAGCGTACTGGAGTTTTCATCTATATTTTAGGTTTTTTTTTTTCTTTTTTAAAAAAACTTTATTTGAAAGATGCGCATTCTTGGAGGTCTCCTCTAAGATTCGTGCACATGTTTCTTTAAATCTGCTTTGCTAGGACGGTAATGCTTCCGAGTTAACTTCCACTTGTGCGAGTTTATAGCCTATAATTAATCCAAAGTGTAACTATAACGGAACTTTTCTAAAAACAGTTTTGCTTGAGCAGAGTGTTTCTGAAGCTTTCTTTAAAAGAGGGGTACCTTTATAATCCTTCTAGAAAGTTCTGGAAATCTTTTTTGTTTTGTTTTGTTTTAAGAAAAAATGTCTTCAGAAGATATTTTTAAAGGGAGCGTGAATTGGGAAGGCTGGGCACCGTAATTCTTGCAGGTCAGACCAATCAGGAAATAGAAACAGGATGACTGGGACTTAGAGCTCTCCTGTGACCTGGTTTGGAGAACTGTTGGTTCATTAAGTTCAGTTTTCTTATTATACATGCAGGCGTGCTTCTAAAAGGTGATGGATAAGAGTAATCCACATTTATTCGTTCCGAGTCTTAGATGAATCAGTGTTCATATTGCTGTTTAGTATACCCTTCTGTAGAGTTGTATTGAAAAGCAGAGGCATAAGGATTTTCTGGGTGGTGCAGTACTTACTTTATCAGTCCTTTTAGTCTTTGTCAGATGTCTTTTTCAACATAATAAATAATTTATAATTACGTGTTGGCTGCGTTTTTTCAATTCCACTAACATCATTGGAGCACCGGTTATATGGAAGGTCCTGTTAAATACTTGGTAGTGTTGTGCTAACGCAAAAAGGACTGAATCTCCTCAAGGGGTTTGGGAAATAGTTGGGGGAGACACAGCACAAAAAACTAGACTTCTAGGCGGACTGAATCTTGAGGCATTTTATAGTAGAGAAGTGTAAAAAGTGGCATTTGTGGAAAGGGTGGCATTGAATTGAACTTAGTTTGTTGAGACTGAACAAATAAGAACAGCTTATTTTTACTGAGTATTCTTATGAAGATGATAAACAGTTCCTGATATTAGTAAACTTACTGGTCACAAACTTGACTAGAGCACATTATATATTATATAATAAATAAAGGTGTTAACCAAACAAATTTGTAAGTAGGAGTTATGTATATCCAAAATATCGAATAATATTTAAAAGCTATGAAAATGGCTTAGAAATATGATGTTTGCTGTACACACAAAAACCATTTTGATATTAAAATAGGTTTAGAAGGAGTTAAGATTTGCAACTTTATGTATAATTGAAATTTCCACAAGTACACGTGATTAGTTCTGTGATTGAGTCCACTTAAAATATTCTAGCAGGTGATTTTTTTTTAGTTTTTTTTTTCATTAAGGTGAAACGTGAATAAAATAAACCACTTTTTTTGTTTTGTTTTGTTTTATTTATATGAAAGAGTTATAGAGAGAGGTTGAGAAAGGGAGAGAGAGAGGTCTTCCATCCACTGGTTCACTCCCCAAATGGCTGCAACGACTGGAGCTGAGCTGATCTGAAGCCAGGAGCTTCTTCCCGGTCTCCTATGTGAAGGCAGAGACTCTTTATTTATTTATTTTATTTATTTTTTTTTTTTTTAATTTTTGACAGGCAGAGTGGACAGTGAGATAGAGAGACAGAGAGAGAAAGGTCTTCCTTTTGCCGTTGGTTCACCCTCCAATGGTAGCCGCTGCAGCCGGCGCACCGCGCTGATCCGATGGCAGGAGCCAGGATCCAGGTGCTTTTCCTGGTCTCCCATGGGGTGCAGGGCCCAAGCACCTGGGCCATCCTTCACTGCACTCCCTGGCCACAGCAGAGAGCTGGCCTGGAAGAGGGGCAACCGGGACAGAATCCGGCGCCCTGACCGGGACTAGAACCCGGTGTGCCGGCGCCGCAAGGTGGAGGATTAGCCTATTGAGCCACGGCGCCGGCCCGAGACTCTTTATTTTTAAGATTGATTTATTTACTGCAGGGGCCTGCGCTGTGGCGCAGCGGGTTAAAGCCTGCAGTGCAGGATTCCCATATGGGCGCCGATTTGAGTCCTGGCTGCTCCACTTCTGATCCAGCTTCCTGATAATGTGCCTGAGAAAGCAGTGGAAGATGGCCCAAGTTTTTGTTTTGTTTTGTTTTGTTTTTTAAAGATTTGTTTTACTTATTTGAAAGACAGAGTTACAGAGAGAGAGACAGAGAAAGAGAAAATCTTACATCTGCTGGTTCACTCCCCAAATGGCCACAACGACTAGGGCTAGGCCAGGCCAAAGCCAAGAGCCAGGAGTTTCTTCTGGGTCTCCCACATGGGTGCAGGGGCCCAGGGTCTTGGGCCATCTTCCCCTGCTTTCTCAGGCGCACCAGCAGAGAGCTGGATTGGAAATGGAGCAGCCGGCATTCAAAGTGGTGCCCATATGGGATGCTAATGTTGCAGGCGGTACCTTAACCCATCATGCCACAGCGCTGGCCCCAAAATAAACCATCTTGAAGTGAACAATTTAGTGCATTCACAGTGTGTAACCAACACTTCTAACTAGTTCTAAAACACTTTTATCATTCCAAAAGAAAATCCTGTACCCATTAAACAGTTGCTACCCATTTCCCTTCTCAACCCCTGGTGCCCACCAGTCTGAGGTCTATGGATATTTCCTGTAAGTGGAATCATACAGTTTGTAACTTTTTGTGTCTTTCACCTGGCTTGATGTTTTCATGGTCAGCCACTTGATAGCATGTATCAGTAATTCATTCCCTTCTGTGGCTGAATAATCACAGTTTGTTATCCCTTTATCCATTGATGGACATTTGAACAATTTCCATCTTTTGGCTGTTGTGAATAGTGCTGCTGTGAACACTTGACATAATTTTTAAATTCTGTTAGAGATGTTATACATTCACAGCTAAGTTTTCAGAGTTACTTGTTCACAAAATTAAGTTTTCATTTTAACAAACATGAATACAGAATGCAATTTGATGAAACCAAATTAATCAACTGAAATGGTTTTTAGGATAATTTATATAAAAATGATTATATCTGTGTGTGTATATATATATATATATTAGATATAAATGGAGCATGAAAATCAGATTGCTTGGTAGAGTTCAGATTGGAATGGGTTGTGTCAGTGTGTTTACTTGTTTTTAGATTCTCCAGCTTGCTGGAATGGAAGTTCCTGGAGGGGCAGGGATAGTGTTTATGTCTTCTGTATAGTCATATTATCAGCACCTTTACATGATAGTCACCCAATATTTGTTGAATTAATGAAGTTTTGAAGTCACTGTTCACTGTTTTTTCATGGTGGAGAAAGTTAATGCTAGTTGCTTCAATTCTTTAGTTTTTATTAGTTCCACGAGATAGCATTGAACTGCATTGGTTTTTGCATATTTCAGAAAGTTTTTTTTTTTGAGATTTTTATTTTATTTGAAAGACAGTTACAGAGAGAGGTAGGCCCAGAGAGAGAGGTCTTCCATCTGCTGATTCACTCCCCAGACAGCTGCAACAGCTGGAGCTATGCTGATCTGAAGCCAGGAGCCAGGAGCCTCCTCCGGGTCTCCCACGTGAGTGTAGGGGCCCAAGGACTTGGGCCATCTTCCACTGCTATCCCAAGCCACAGCAGAGAGCTAGATCGGAAAAGGAGCAGCCTGGACTAGAACCAGCGCCCACGTGGGATGCCAGTGCCTCAGGCCAGGGCTTTAACCCACTGCGCCACAGTGCTGGGCCCAGAAAGTTTAAGAATACTTGTATCACATCTAAGTATCCATACAGGGAGAATTTTTTAAAAAAAGATTTATTTATTTGAAAAACTGACAGAGAAAAGGGAGGGAGGGAGAGACAGAGAGACAGAGAAAGAGAGAGAGAAAGATGCCCACAACAGCCAGTGCTGGACCAGGGCAAAGCCAGGGTCTCCCACATGGGTGACAGGTACTTAAGACTTGGGTCAGTCATCATTTGCTGCCTTCCCAGCCGCATTAGCAGGAAGTTGGATTGGAAGCAGAGTAGCCAGGTTTTGAACAGGCACTCTGATGTGGATGTAGCTATCTCAAGCGACTGCCTAGCCCACTGCACCATTATTGCCCATTTGAGGGAGAAGGTTTTTCTAAGATACTTGTTGGGAGTAGGGGCTGGAAAGTGAGGACAGGCCAAAGTGCTGAATTTAGTGAATGTCCTAAGCAATCTTGTTAACATACAAATTAGATGGTGTACTTGATAACATTGGATACATTTGTGACTTAAAATTACTACTTACTTACTTAGATGTTTTGAGGTTTTTCCACTGGAAAAGTTGAAGCCCCTAGAGTCTTTAGCTCTCTCTCTCTCTTTTTTGTAACGCTCCCAGTGAGGTCTCTGATTTTTTCCCATTTATAATTGAATCAAAGCATTTTGCTAAACTTTTTTACTTACTGCTTATCTTTAAATTTATGCTACATTTCGGTAGTAAATAGGGAGTTTAAGATAGGTAAGTGTTTAATGTATTCCATTAACATTCTTTGCCATTATAAAGGGTAGCTTCTGATAATCTGTTTTAGTGTACTGATTATGTATCTTTAATATAGTTTGATATTACAGTAATCTTTACTTTTACAAATTCAAAGTTTCATTCTCAGGGTTTGTTATTAAATATTTACTTCAAAGTC